GTTACAACTTGGTGCAGTCCATTTCTGTGAGTGTAGAAGGGTATATCTGCCTCATTTGACAGACTAGTTGAAAGACATAGTGGTATGTTCAATATAACACACAAGATCTGCATAGCGTTCATACTGATACAATCAGATCCTCCTTAGCAAATAGGCGCCTCAGAAGCTGTCGACCTTGAGGGGTAAAGCTGAGATAAGTGTCCTCTAGCAGAATCCAGAGCCCACTATGTAGTCCGAAAATAGAAGAGAATACAACTCCTGTTCCCAATAGCCGGCATTCCGTGCAGAGATAGCCATGCTGTCTGGCATGGGTTTGTGGTTAAAGAGGCGGTGCTCTGCTTTGTTTCCCTTAGAAATTACTGAGAGTGATCGGCCAGTGATTAAACACTGAAAGAGCATCCACACTATCTTCTCAACCCTATAAATACTGAAAGAGGTGCACAGATGTCACCATTTATGTTTGATTCGCCTATTGAAAATGCTGTTAAACAAAGTTCAAAAGTAAGCATTATTTTTTTATATTATAATATACTTTTATTCATTTACTTTTTAATAAGGCCTACATTTATTTTTTGTAGTGGCAGCAAAATTTATATCGCAATAATTTGGGCTACTTCAAACAGCAATTTCCTTGTTGAGGAAACTGCTTTTTGAAAACATGCTAGAAATCTATGAACAAAAAATAGATAAGTAAATATGTTTTTATAAAAAAAAAAATATTTATTCAATGGTGTAATTTATGAGTGCTTTTAAATGAATAAACAAAACATGTGGCAGTAACTTAAACAGACCAATTTATACACAAACTACTACAAAACACCCTAACTCAACTAATTAGAAAATAGTACATATTGCAAAGACTTCTATTAATCGTTTTGCACTATTTACTATGAATTACATAATGGAAAGAGAAAATGAATTAAGATAAACCAATTCAATAGAATGAATTAGACTTTCAAACGTTAAAATAGAACAGCGACTGTTTAAAATGATTCATTTATAATAATGAATCAGACTTTCCAACACTACCCAGAGAGAACCATTTAAGATGAACTGATTCACTAGAATGAATCTGACTTTTCTCAACACATCGTTTTAGCTCGATGCAGGGTTTGGTCTCGCCAAAAAAGTAGAGAAAATGTAGTTTTATTTGCTACTTTTACATTTATTGATTTAGCAGTTCATGAAGTATCTTTTAGTTAGTTACTATCCAACATTGTACAACTCATTACAACTCATCATAAAAGAGCAACCGAAATGGCACACCTGACCTGAACAAAGCTACCAGGAACCAGGTTTTGAAGTTCTACACATGGTGAGCAGTTGTTACAGATTATCAGCTCTCATACAGTGGCACAAGCCTCTACCACCGAGGCCAAAACAGTCAGAGGTGGAGGGGGGAGGTCACATTCTGTACACTCACACTCAATGGAGGCAAGGAAAATACACAAACTGCCTCTTAATGAATGTTTTCCTCTTGCCAATCAAAAACTACAGTATCTCCTGGTCTTTTAAATCCTGTGATCTATCCACCAGGCTCAGACGTGTGAACCATATCCCAGCTGAGCAGCGGCCGTTTTTTCCCGCTGACCTGCCTCTGACAGTGGCGTAAGACGAAGAGAAGGAGAGTTTGGGAAATCCTAGATGCCCTAATCTCAGGATTACCAGCCGGCCCAGCTAATCAGACTTTTAGCAAGTGACTCAGTGGATGGAGACAACCAGTGCCACTCTCCCCCATCCGGCTCCAACGCTCGGCCCGTCTGCATTGTGTTAGGACTGCATTGCACCACCATCCTTCTCACACACACTTTAACGCATAGCCTAGATATGAGCACCCACAGCTGTCTGTCTATTTTAGTCTGGATTTTGACAGCAGTATACCCCCCCCGTAACAATCCCTGACGCCTTCACCAGAACAATAGCCAGCAGCTCACATAAACCTTTTAAACTTAGAAAGCGCTCAGGCTCAAGAATAGCCCAGCCATTCTGGCGCAATCTCCTGCCACACGGTAAGCCCAGAGAGGACGGACAGAGTTAACAAGGCCTTGAGTCAACACTGACTTAAACAATCCATACCTGATGCAAGTCTATATGCGCAGATGCTCAAAATTACATTTTATAAAATGGATTCGACTCTATTTCTGATAGGATGAACTGCATTTAAAGCCATTGTAATATATCCATATATATATCATGCACAAGGATGCTCTGCCCAAGACAAATTAACTATATTAATTGCTGGAACAATTATTTCTTCTTCTCATTATTATTAATAGTAATGATGAGGAAAAATGTATTTTAAATGTAATTTAATTTAAGTATTATTATTGGTAAAAAAAAAAAATTCTGAGTAAAGTCATGGTAATGCTCAGCCTTTCTGGCTTATCACTTTAGAATGTTTAACTGCTATACATTTACAGTGATTAAAGTGATAAAATGTGTGAGTGTGATGAATGGTGACCATGTGCAAACCCTCTTAACCTCACTTTATCTCTATATCTGTCTCATTGTCTCTTAACATTCTCAGCATAAGCTTCAGCTATCATATTTAGTATTTAAATAGTACATATAACCGGCAATTAAAATTCCCAGCCCCACTTTAATACACCTGCACATCTCCACATTCATTTTCTCCTACCATTGGATTAAAGAAACCTTGACAGATTGGAATGGAAAGTGGATATGGGTTAATTCAGCCAGTCTCCCATGGCATGCAGTATATTGCTGTGTAAAATGTCTTTTAACAATTCAAAAGCCCAAGGATTTATGGAAACGTCCACATGGGCTGACTCATAAAACCCACATTAGTCTAATCCAACACAGAAACAACTGCTGGAGAACGTACACACATGCAGGATCTACGCGTTTTCAAAAGTGGACCAGCGTGATTATTTCACGTCTTGTTGTGTACCGGGTTGAAGAAATGTTGTTTTGGCCACTTTGTTTGATATAATCACAACAATTTACCGTAAGTAAGTATGGGAATTGAACTCAGGTCTTCTTGATTAAAGCCCAATGCTTTATCAACTGAGCCACTGAATCTGTTGAGTTCAAAGGTGTAATTGGATGGGGTTTATTGCGGGTTTGGTTTTATTTGTTGGAAAAATAAATATAGAAATATAATTTGACACAAGAGGGCAGTATAGCCCTACTTATGTGGTTTTGAGTTTAAACTAAACCGTGACATCTACACGTTTTCCAAAGTGGACCAACGTGATTATTTCACGTCTTGTCATGATACGGGTTGGGCACTGAAGTTACAGGAGTTTCTTCCCGTTGCTAAGCAACAGAACTAGGTCGAGTATTTAAAAGGTTATGGTTAACACAGTTAACGTGGTTTAACGTCGATGTAATACGTTGTTTTAGCGTACCTTTTGCTTAAACGAGGAACTGGGGGACGCCGGAAAAATAGACATTTTACTCATTAGGCTGCTTCATTAAAAACGTGACATTTAGACGTTTTCTTCGGCGTGGATCCAGGCAAATGAATCCTTTTCACCTTGAAAATATTAAATGGGTTTTTTTTTTTTTTTTGCATTTTAAATAATAGAACATTTCTCAGTGATCGTAAATAAAACAAAATTCAATTTTTCTCGATTTAAACCGATAGGTCGTTAAGCCAGAGGCGAATAAACATCTGATATGTCTCCACTGGAGCGTGTTAACGCAAACGTGTAAGTTTCAGGTTTGAGGGAGTTAAACCGTGACATCTACACATTTTCCAAAGTGGACTAGCTGCTTCATTAAAAACGTGACATTTAGACGTTTTTTTCGGCGTGGATCGAGGCAAATGAATCCTTTTCACCTTGAAAATAATAAATGTTTTTTGCATTTTAAATAATAGACCATTTCGCAGTGATCGTCAATAAAACAAAATTCAATTTTTCTCGGTTTAATGAAAACCAATAGGTCGTGATGGTAAGTTTCAGTTTAAGTGTAAGTTTCACGTTGGAGGGGGTTTAAACCGTGACATCTACACGTTTTCAAAAGTGGACCAGCGTGATTATTTCACGTCTTTTCATGATACCGGGTTGGAAGAAATGTTGTTCTGGCCACTTTGTTTGATATAATCACGACAATTTACTGTAAGCCAGTATGGGAATTGAACTAGGGTCTTCTTGATTAAAGCCCAACACTTTATCAACTGAGCCACTGAATCTGTTGAGTTCAAGGGTGTATTGGATGAGGTTTATTGCGTTTTCATGTCCCGCTATGTCCAACTGGCACAAAGAGTGATTGTGAACTAAAATGTTTCCGTCAGTCATCACCTTTCTTGTGCCACTGACATGCCAGAAGCAGAAAAAGCATAGAGATAGCATAGATGTCTGTAGAAATGTTTATAATTGAGTTATATCAGGTCAGAGAAATGGTAGTAGCATCATAGTTTAACTATTAAGCTCCTGGCTGCTGAAGAATCCTGGCAAGGGTCGGCATGAACAGTACATGTAGTTATACATTTGTTTTTGTCACAAAGCCCTTTTCTTGATGGAACTGTTATGTGATAGCCACAGCAATTCACTGTTTCTTTTCAAACTAACTGGGCAATATGAGACAAAGAAAGTCAGTGCATGCGTGAGGAAATAACAGTTGGGTTGTTTAGTTGTAATAATTTAGTTGTTACTGCCATCTATAGGACAACAGACATATAGGCTAAAGAAGTTAGCTAAGCAATGAATTCCTGATGTCCATTACTATTACATATTTAGTATTAGGCTAAATTAATATATTATTAAAAATAAATGATAAATGAATTATTTAGGCTAAAAAATGTAATTATTGTGTCGAAGTCCACAAACAATGCCATTTGAACATTTTAAGAAGACTTTGTCAGATGTGGTAAATACAAACATTTGCACAGTTTTATTATGTTTCTGTGTTTTATATCGTTTATTGCATATACATAATAACTATTATGTCTATGGTTTATTGTCCTGAGCTGCGTTGTCAGTGGACTAGTATTTTGAAATGGTCAACATCAGCTGATTATAGTGGCACGTTATTGGTCGCAGTAGTAACAAACACACACATATTGTTATTGAGACCTTACTTTTCAATACGCGTCATTAAACCTACAGTTAACGGATTTCTTTGTTTACTGTTTATCACTCGTCCCGTTATGGCGGAACGGATCACGAGAGAAGATGCGTTGTCACGGGAGGGCTTCAGACATGCGTGTCACATTATGCTTTACGGAGACTCTAGTGCCAAACTTTTCGGGAAAATCCCAATAAAACATATAGTTCTGGTAAGAAGGACTGCGCTTGCTGTGACCTTTATTTGAAGAGTGCGACTACGGCAGGTTCCAAAGCAGGACGTTTAAAAATAACGTGTAAATTAATGAACGCCGTTGAATTTATGAACCTTAATTGAGATTATGTCATTTAGATGCAGATGCGCTTTGATGGCTTGCTGGGTTTCCCAGGGGGGTGAGTTCATCTTTCTGCACGAAAAAAAAAAAATAAAAAAAAATCAAACTTTAAATGATGTCTTAAGTTGTTTATAAATGCACTGTAATTATTAATGTATTTTGTTTTTAAATCTGTAGATTGGTGAACCCGAATAAGGAGACGCTGGAGGCGGGACTTAGCAGAGAGCTTCACGAGGAGGTGGGCGTGGCTGTGTCGGTGGGCGTGGACGATCACATATCCTCCTGCCTTTCTCAGTCTCCATCCTCCCCTCAGCTCATCACACACTTCTACATCAAGAAGATGACAGAGCCAGAGCTGAAAGAGATCGAGAGAGCAGCTGTAACTACGGCCACAGACCATGGTTTAGAGGTAAAAGCTCTGTCTGTTCTTTTCATGAGCGTGTAAATGTACTCATATTATGCAAATTTCGTGTCTGTCCCCAGGTAATGGGTATGGTCCGAGTCCCACTCTACTTCCTTAAGAATGGGGGTGGTCTCCCCTATTTCCTGTCCCACTCGTTCATCTGTAACTCTCGGGCCCAGCTGCTCTCTGCCCTGCACCACTGTAGACTGCTGTCCCAGGGGGAGCTGGAGAAGGCTGTGAGACAAGCTGAGCAGATGAGACGCACACACAGTGATGATCCACACTGACATTAGTTTACACAGCGGTGCCTTTTCACCCCTGGGCCATTACAGCTACATCACAGTAGCCCAACCCCCCAAGTGCGGGTAGAAACACCCCCATGTCCTCATACTACCTTCAGTTCCTGATTCAGCCTTGTACAACATGTACTCTCCCTTAGATATCCTATGTCTCAAAGATGCAGACCCTAACCGTTTATCATAATATCACTAACAATTCATGAGCCCAGGTTCACTTAATAGTTGATAATAATGTTTTTCATACGTCAATAGTCCCCATTCTACAATATAAGAGCATTAATTGAAGCAAATTAATGACTCTGAGATGTTGCAATAATTATACCTCTAAAAAATGTAATTTGTTTTTGATAATTTGCATATGTAAATTTATTTATGATTTAAGCATAGTTGCTTAAGAGAGATGAATGCTATACTTATGGCACTGACGCCATTCTGTTTGATGAATTCCTATCAGATCGGTTTATGAGATTTATATATTTGCAAGTTAAATGGTGCGTGCTAGTTTGACTAATAAACAGCAGATGACATGTGAGGCTTGAGTCTTATCCAAATTTGTACCAAAGCTGAGGTTTTAATCACATCACACTTGCAGTACTTAGAATGGCCACAGAATTGTGCTAGCAGGCTGGCTTATTTGACAGGCACTTTTTCGAGCAAGTATTTTTCATTGGTTGTAGGATAAAGCTGCAGTGTGTATTTGTACAAATAATAATAAAATAATTATCCGCCGTTGGTTAGCAAACAGTTAGTCCTGGCCCAAACTCATACCATTGTTTGCACAATACCGCAGACTCAAACAAACAGTAATGTTTTAATAGAGTTAGTCTTTGTTTTTTTTTACTTTTTTTTTACATAACCATTAAATTAGTGTTTAAACGTCACCCATTAATAAATGAGAGGGCAGTAACTTTCATTTTAGCTTCCCCTTTTAAGTAGGAAACTGTTTTGCTGAATTCATGACTTTCAGAATTCTCATAATCTTTTAGTTAGAATCTCCATTATTCAGAATTCTTTGTTAACTGACTCATGTGATGGATGCATTTTCAGTAATTCAATGTTCTGTAAAATTATTACGGTAAGATGTGGCAATTTCTTGTAGCATGAAACTTTTTCTGCCTGTTTTCTTTATTTTATTTTATTCTAAACATATACCATGCTATATATTCTGGAAAAATACTTCAAGAGAGTCTTCACATACAAGTGGTCTAAAAGTGTGAAAGTGTTTCTATTTCCCATTTTTCCCATTTCATTTTATTTTCCCATTTAAATTTTTATTGCAAACTATTTTATCAGCTTCAGAATTGGAGTGAAAGTTGAAATGAAAAATTGGTAGTGTCCACAAGTTTGTGTGAAACCTGATGTCCATGTTCTCCAGTACGGCTATTTGAGATGATTCAAAGATTATCTTGAGATTCAATGGCAGTAAGAACACCTGACCCACCTGAATAAAGTCACATGCTGCAAATTTGCTTAAATATTAATTTTATTGAAGGAGTTTCACCGCACTTACGATAAACAAGGTGCCAGACTAGAAGAACAAGACCAGAAATCTAAAAAAAAAACAAAAAACCCCACTAATTTCCACAGTTTCCGCAAGCTTTGTGTTTGGTGATTAAATTTGCTTTAAGGATTTAAGTGTGCGGACTGTTTATTTATTTTTTAAAATATTAATTAAAAATATTTCCTATTTTATTAAGGTTTTTTTTTTGTTTATTTAATTTTTTTTTCAGTTAAAAAATGATTTTGAATCTCAGATTTTCAGTGAGACTTTTGAACCCTACTTTATGATCAATACACACGTCTGTGTGTCATTGCCATGTTCTGCAGTTCATCAGCATCCCCGAACCAGAGCTTTGTGTTCATCAGACCACAGCAGGTGAAATCAGCTTTGTTATCGCCACTCAGGCCTCATTTGCATCGCTGCATGTGCAGTTTTGAACATGCGAGGCTATGAGTAACGAAACCAGAGACATGAAGTAGGTCAAAGCTGTGAGGACTGACTGACCAAGTGGAAACTGAACTGTCCCTAGGGAGGACAGGCAGGGGTAGTACGGGTTGATGCGGGAAGAGGGGAAATTGTAGAAACAATCGTATCGGAGGCATCGCCGACAATGTTGAACTGCATATTATTACCTGCCGGGCCCTGTAAGTCGCTTCTCGTATTGCACAATTCTGACAAACTGTTATAACGCTCACGTCACATCATGGCTTCCCCCCAGCCACCCTCACAGTGGAGTCGCCTTTCCAAGCATTCATGGGTGGGGTGATGGTTCCCGTAGACCATTGGTTTGCCACAAGGGAGCTGAAGCATGTGCAACAATCCTTGTATTACATCCATGAGTTTATAAGTCCTTCTTGACCCACGCACAGCATTACACATTCATATTGTTTATTATGTTCACTGTACGCATGTGTAGTTGTGTTGTGAGTGCGCTCTGTTTAATATCGGTGCTGCTGCACTGAATTTCTCTTTAGGGATCAATAATAATCAATCTTTTTATATCTAGTGAGATTGGGCCGCACTGCAGCTGCAGATGTTTCTCTCAGTGTATGTGTTTCTGTCTGGTTGTATGTGTAATATTGTCTGCGTCTTTGTGTTTGTGTGTGTGTGTGTGTATGTTTCACATTATAGGATTTAGGGAGGTTTATTTCCCTTTTGTCACATCCTTAGGATTTTATAGTGAGAGAAAGAGAGTGAACACAGGCTTAACCCAAGAGAGGAAGGAAACAAGCACAGGAAAGATGGGGGAGGTGAAGGGGTTGAACTTCTCTTGCGCACTCTTACAAAAAAAAGGTTAAATCGGTTTCTACTATATGGGTTCTTGACTCAAAGAACTGTTTATGCGAAAAACTCAATCCCTCAATCTGATCCCTCTTGAGACGTTAAATGGAAATTCTGTCAATTTTTTCACACTCTATGTCATTCCAAAAACCTGTATGACTGTCTTTCTTTCTTTCTTTCTTTCTTTCTTTCTTTCTTTCTTTCTTTCTTTCTTTCTTTCTTTCTTTCTTTCAATTCAAGTCAATTCCTAGCCTAGTTTGTAATTTACTTAACCACGTGAGTGCCTTAGTATTTCGTGTAGCCTACATAAAGGAAGTCATACATGTTTTGAATGACATGAGGATGAGTAAATCTGAGGGAGGGGCTATCCATTTAATGTCTTCTCATTTGCATAACTAAAAATGTTCTCATGTAAATGCTAATTAAGTAGATATTTTTACAGAAATATACAAAAATTCATTAAGCCAACGATATTTATGTTTGAACAACATAATTTTATGTGGCACATTTACAAGTCAAAACCGACGACCCGTAGTTAACACTTCTCAGCATCCTTTAGTGGTTGCTGTGATGAGTAAATTGGCGCTTATGTGGGCATCATTTCCTGTTTGGTGCGAACGCATCTAAAAAAATCGTTATTCACAGCTCTTATTATGCATAACAATAAGGGAGCTAATGACTACATAAACATGTGCACATCCAGCACACTAGATGGGTCACATAAGCCATTAGCACATGACAGCGCGCGCGTGGCGGTGGTGTCAGCAACAGAGTTCACACAGAACGTGTTGCATTTAAAAACGAGACGCAGCGCAGTTGAATGGGAAACAATGACGTTTTAAAAAAGTTTAACTTCGACGCGGCGTAACGGTCAACGGTCCTGCTATGTAAACGGTGAATGTTTACAAAATAAAACAAATAAAACAGCGCAGTGGAACGGAAAAACGCATTCTGTGTAAACCGGCCATTACAGTGCCAGCAGCAGGTGTATCCTTTGTGTATGTGTGTGTGTGCACGCGTCGGCCATTGTTTGTTTATCACCCAACTATAGCTCTTATCCATTCAATCCCTTTTGGATTGGCATTAGCATCGGTTTTATAGCTCATCTGCAAGATCATTAAATTGATTCATGACTACATTAATCCTGAACGTGTGTTATGTGTGTGTGTGCAGATAAAGAGGGGGCTAGTAGTCCTCGAGCACAATGCAAGGTCATAAGAGAAGCATTTCATGGCCACAGAGAGGGGGAATATTAGGAATGAGAGATGGAACAAAACGGGAGGGGGGAAGTCTAAGAGAACAAGACAGCATATTCATATCCATTCCTGTATTTATAGTAAGCCTGCGGGGAGGGGGCCGAAGAGGGCGTGGCTTCGGTTATGACATTCTCTCTGATTGCCTGAGAGCGGAGGAGACAGAGAGAGAGGCTGTGTTTCAGCATGCATGTGTGTGAACCAAAGAAGGGAGCTGTTTTCTAGCATGCGTGCTTGTGTGTGTGCGCATCCACCTTATTTTAAATGCACTCCTTAGAGAGAGAGGGTCATGTCTGCACAATGTGTTTGAGGGGGGGAAATCAAGCTGGCTGCATGAAATCAGTGTGACTCAAACACAGTGTTCAGCGAGAGACGGACCCTTGGAGAATCAGGTAAGACTGTGCTTTCTTTATTATTTATGACAGTACATTCACTGTGTATTCCTCTCAGCATGACCGGTTGTATGTTTATGTGTTCGCCCTCCATCTCCTCACACACGCAGTGGAGGCTCACTGACATGTTTGTGTGTGTAATGACAGCGGTCATTTCTTAGTTGAATGCATTGTCCACTATGGATGAGAGTGTGCGTGTTTGTGGCAGATCCGTCTAGCGCGTCCACACACACATAGGCTATTCGTGCTTTTGCATGTATGAATGTGCGCATGAATGTCACATATCGAGAGAAAGACACTAACTGACACGGGCTGCTTCCTCTTTCAGGGTGTCTCAGTAGCATTGATCGCTAGGCAGTCACTCAACTCTTTGCTTCAGTCTTCCACCTCACCACCTCTCTACCTCTGTGGTGTTGTTATTTGGCTGAGGGGTTCCCTGTCTCTCTTTCTCTTCCTCTTTCTCGTGCACAATCTACCGCCTTTCATTTTCACACTTCAAATCACCCTTAAAGAGACAGTACACCTTGAAATTAAAATTCTGTCATTGTTTAGTCACCCTCATGTCTTTCCAAACCTGTATGTCGCGTCTTTCTTTTGTCAAACAAACATGTGAGGAGATGGTTCATGCTGCAAAGAAATTAAATAATGACCCGGAGTGTAAGGCATCAATCACTATAAAAGTAGTCCATTGTGCACTAAGTCATCTTAGCTCATACTAGATTTATGTGAGGAATGAATCTACATTTATTGTGCTTTTTGAATAAAAGCTCCGCTACCCTCGCTCTCAAATCTCAGTTATGGGATTTAAATATTCCAATATTAAATGCATAAACATATTCAAATTTGGCATGTCACGACTGGTTACAAGACACACAAGATCCAGTTACATTTTGCATCGCTGGTGTCAAACCTGAATGAAATTTAAAAGGGATAATTCACCCCAAAATGAAACTTCTGTTATTGAATGGCTTACTTTCTTCTGCAGAACACAAAAGAAGATATTTTGAATGTCCATACCATCAAAATTAATGGGGACGAAAACAACTCTGGATTGTATGGCCATAAAAAAGCCCTGAGAGATTTTTCAAATGATCTTCTTTTGTGTTCCACACAGGTTTGAAATGACGTGCGGGTGTTGTGAGAGCTAAATAATGACTTAATGTTCTCACAGTACAGTATTGCTTATAAGACTTGAAAGACACATGAGTCATAGGACCATGTTTATAGTGCTTTTTCCCTTTTTTTTTTTAGCTTGACAGACTGGTTATCATTTTCTTTCTGTCCATGAAAAAGAGAAGTATCATAATTCTGACAAACTTCTCCTTTTGTGTATCATGGATTATAGAAAATCATACAGGTTCAGAACAATGAGAGGATGAGTTCATTTTGGGGTGAACTAATCCTTTAAATGGAGATATGTAGCAGTTGGGATAGATGCTCCATAGAAAGGTGGATTGAAAGATAGATTTATGAGTCTTCAGAGGCAAAACTTGGCAGATAAGCAGGAGAGAGCAGGGAAATGCAGGGAGAGGCGAGATGAGTTCCTTGCACGTCACGATTTAGGACTTGAGGGGAAGTGCAGGAAAGAATACAGTGACTCAATGCTTTTTAACATGGGATCAGAGTGTGTGTGAGAGAGTGTGTCCATGTGTGTTTTCATGTACACATGCTGAAAAGGAGCGGCAGTGCAGAAAGGGAATCGTGATTGTCAGATAAGCAGTCTCATATCAGCATGACCTCTCAGCTCCTACATTTACTGCTCTGAGCTGTCCCTCAAAGCTCTATCCATCTATCCATCCTGCCCAGAAGAAAACTGTATTTCTCAGAAGTAGCTCCAGTGAGTTATGGGAAATGAGACAATATCACAATATTGCTGTTTTTATTGTATTTTTGATCAAATAAATGCTCATTTGGTGAGCATAAAATAATTCTTTCAAGAACAATAAATAATCTGACCACAAACGTTTGAACGGTAGTGTATGAGCTGAGACGTGTGATAACTTATGCGCAAAATTGGAATATTACATAAAACATTTGCAAATAAAGCACGTTTCATCCTCATGTGTTAAAAATCGTCACGTTTTGGGACATCGGTGCAAAATATCTGTATTAAAAATGGATATTTGAGATGCTGCACGATGTGATTCGTCCAATCAATTGAGTAAAGGGTTTCCATATGCGCATGTCTTCTTATTATATAAAAAATATATGCGCCTTATTTGAGCACGTACGTTTTTATGCGCATCTTTGTGTTTCCATCCAGTTTTTTTTATGTGATATCCCAAAATGTGCATGAAAATAAGTGAATGGAAACATAGCTATTGTTGAGATCTCTTCTGAGTGAGATTACTGGACCTTTTCCTCAGGAGGAAAATGGGAGACTTAATCGCATTGCTGAGTAGGAGAAACCATTGAGATTATACCAAGATCTCATTTGTGATATTTCATTCCTATGGGCAGCAATCAGAGCAAGGCATATATCAATCAACTTAGTCTCAGGACATATTTGCTAATTGCTTTTGCAGAAACACACTTTATCATAGTCAGTTCACAACATGTTCAGAATAATGCTTACTTTATTGGTGCTTGGTGCATTTGTGAAGTCATTTACTTGTAGATATTGAACATTTATAAGGTCTGTGGACAGACACACGTTTGTAGCTTCAAGAGATCATGAGTGTCAGGACTAACTGTGTCACGGATGTGGTTTGCATTATCACTGGTCACATCACATGAGTTTCTGTGCTGTTGTGTAGGTATGATGTTGTGGTTTATTGTTGTGTAATTAGACAAGTTGGCTTGTTTCCACTTAGACTTTTTTTTTGAGTGTTTGTTTAATGTAATGGCTTTGTTACACTTGAGTGTTGTGTTGGCATATCGTCAGGAAAGAGTTTGTGGGAGCGGCTGGGAAATATACATTGTGTGTTTAAGCTGTTTGTTTTGTATGTCCACTACCGTTTGTGACCATCAAGAGTTTTACATCGGAAATGATTTCTATTTTCTATTAAATGCTGCTTTCTATTCATCAAAAAATCCTGAAAATAGTATCTTCATTATATTGAAGAACATTTTTTACTATATTTTTTTATTAAATAAATGCAGAGACTTCTTTCAAAACATAAAATAATCTTTCCGACCCCAAACTTTTGAAAGATATGTGCACTTCCACAGCTTGTGACCTTAATGTTATTTAAAGGGACAGTTCACCCAAAAACAGTTAGTCATCTTTCTCTCTCAACAAGGTTTTTTTTCCCCTCAGAAGACAAAATGAGATGCAGAATGAGCTGCCCTTTTCCATGTAATCAAAGTTAAGGTCCTCAGGGTCCAAAAAAAGACACATAAGGACCATAAAACTTGTCCATACAACTCATGTTCTATTAGCAAAGTCTTTTGAAGCCATACTAAAGCTTTGTGTGAGCGGTCTATCTGTCAAGGTAAATATTTTGCCTCGAAAATCATATTTTAAAGCCATGGTTACCATTTACAAAAAAAGCGCAGCCTAGAAATGCAGCTAATTATCTTCTTTTGTGTTCCATTGAAGAAAGAAGGATTTTGAATGAGTGGAAGTAAATGTACCTGATCTTTCACATTTGGGTGAGCTGAGGTATCCCTTTTTCGTGATACATTACATTCAGCCTTTAATATTTGTGGCTTTGTCCGTGTGGAAGGAGCATCACTCCATGGCAGTGAGAGAACACAACGGTGTGTGTGTGTGTTTGTGGGGTCCCTGTGGTGCTCTGCTCTGAGAGATAAGACCAGAGCTCAGCTTCTTCCAAGCCTCCACTGGGAGCGTAAAACAGGATTGATCCCATGGATCTCCAATTCCCCTCAGTTTCTTTACCTCAAGTCAATATAGTAGACAGATCAAGTTTAAATGGGCACATTCACTCAGTCAGGACACCGGAGTGGTTTCACACAGGCATTCACTGCTGGATCAATATATATGCTTGCTTATGTGTAGCTGGCAGATTTCAAGCAGCAACAACCTGAACCGGGGTCCTGGATACCCCAACTACTGCCCTGCGTATAGACCTATATATACCTGAAAGATTTGCTTATTTGTAAATTGCCAAATGCACTATGCAATTGCATTTAGTGTTATATAGTTATAGGTATCTATCTATATCGGAGTGTGTGTGTGTGTGTATATAATATATGCATATATATGGCTGTGCGATATAGCTAAAAAAATGTATAAAAAAATGTATCACAACATAATGTTTCATATCATTATGTATAATTATTGACAATTTTAAAAACCTTTTTTTAGTATAAAAGGTTGAATTTAAAACACAGTTTTTTTTTTAATCCACATTAAGGCATATAACAAAGTATACTAGTTTAACAGTCAAGTAAAAAAATCTTCTTAATGCCTTATATTAAGATAAAAAGTGTTACTTTTTTGTTTATATATACACACACAGAGAGAGATAGAGAAATGCAGCCTTGCATTTTCTTTGCCTGAAGTATCAGATTAGAGTTTACTATTTAAAATGCTTCAACCTTTCTCTGCAAAACAGAGAAACCACTGCCAAGAGTATCAAAAAAACACTGGCATGTGCTGGCATACACTAATTCAATAGAATTCAACCCCATTGTGCACAAATCCGATTCAACTCTTGTGAATCAATAATAGCATTATCATAATGAAGTCTCTGCTGAGCTCTGATTGGCTGGTTTAGGCTTTTGACCTCTAAACACTGAGATGGAAGTGAAGAGCAGACTGTCATGACTGCTCAGTGACTGAGAATACATCATGTGCCTTTTGCATGGAATCAGTTGATGTTGCCTAAAAATAATGTTTATACTATTTAAATTATGGGTAAATTGCAATATGTATTTATGTATTGCCATTATTACATGAAACACGTTGTGCTCATGTGACAGGGTTAAAACAAATTAGTGCTGGATTTAGTTTGAAACAATTTCCACTCAGAAATTGCTAGCAAATTTAACAAATAATTACAAAGAACTGCAAATAACAAATTGAATTAAACCTTAAACTTTGAAGTATATAATTATATATATATATATATATATATATATATATATATATATATATGAAGAGTTCAGATGCAAAAGCCTCTAAATGCCATTTGAAATTTTCTTATTTAATGATGATTTTTATCAAGCTTGTATATTTAAGTTCAGTGATTTCACTTAAATGGCAATGATAATTACCTATTAATTGTTATTTAAGTGAAATGAATGACTGAACTTAAATATACAAGTTTGATAAAAATCATTATTAAAGAAGAAAATTTCAAATGGCATTTAGAGGCTTTTGCATCTGAACTCTTCATATATATACATATATAGTAAAATGTTCTTTTTGTTTTATTTACATCATTTTGTACTGCAAAGCTGCTAGTCAATTTTATTACATGTTTTACATTATATCATTATATGATGTATATTATTTTTTAATTATTATTTTATTTTTATTAAAATTTCATTTAATTAGTTAACTAATCAATGAATTATTATATTGCATCCAAATTCCTAAATCTGGGGTTTGTAATGAAAAGCTAATCATTTATTGATTGAAATTTAAGTGATAAAAATAATATATGATTAAATTGAATATATAATTGTAATAAAAAGAATAACAATCAAGATAAAAGATTAAATATTTTATTTGTTTACTTGAATGTCATTTGACCATTAACTACATCAGAGAACTGCGGACATGCAAATAAAATATATTAATTTCAAATCTCAGGGCGCACTTCATTTAACATTTTACATCAAAGCGATTTGGCTGACAAAAACGTTTACGAATCCCAGACCCAAAACATGTATGCTATGCGCACCAACACATGCATGCATAAAATACATACATTACTATCGTGAGAAGCCCATATATTATATATATATGGACATAAGCTCACAATGTGCGGGACATTTCTTTTTGCATTTCTCAGGTTATAAACAAATAAGAAACCCACCTGCACATGTTTGGTACTCTAAATTCTTAATGCACAGTGCTGGAGCAGCACTCCCCTGGTCTGACTATGACTGTGTGGGTTTGTGGCAAGAGCCATGATGACTCCGGTCCCTCCACCCTCTCATAAGACCAACGGCCATCACTGGCGCAACTCACAGGAACTCCTGCGCAGTTCAGGCTGCCATTCTGCAACAAACAATCAGTCACGTAGCTTGTCAAAGAGCCAGAGTCAGAGCTAAGTCAGATCTTTAAAAAAAAAATTCTCCCTTCCCTTTCCTATGTGTTTAAGGCCTTTAATTTGAGTTATTAGCTCAAGCTTTAGACTAGTGGTTCTCAGCTCAAAAATGGGTCACGGGTTTGTCTTGATTAGATCGCAGACATCATTGAAGATGCTAAATGCAAAAACTAAAATGCAACTAACCATATAATTGTTCATAGTTGTGATGGCAAAATAAACAGGCTTCCTAAAAAAAGAAGTAAACAGTTCCTATATTGTTGGTTGTTGATATCAAAGGCTCTGTGTCCAACCAGACTCTGTTTTTGTTGTAAACTGATCTGTCATTTGGTGGAAGCAGCCAATTTAGGCACGTGCCAACATGGACAGTTTGCATTGTACAAAAATAAGTACAATTTTGGTACTGTGTTGGGTTGCCTCTTGACATTCATTGTGAAGTACTGTAAAAGAGGTTGGTTTTTAGAAATAGTAGAGTGTGTGGATACTTAACTTAGGATCGACAGGATGTCTTCATATGAGAATCTTTCTGAATCACTCACACACTATAGAAGACAAACAGGATGTGGGCAGGTGCATACTTTTCGCTTAACCGTTTTCGTCTTCTGGAAGTGCCCGTGACACGTCAAATTGAAGTAACGTTTTTCTCTCTCTTCCTCTCCTGTCTCTCTCTTATCTTGTATTTACTTCCATAATCCATTTATGGTTTGTTTCTGTCTTGTACATTTGTCTTTGTCACACCTTCTTATCAAACTTCTGTGTTTCTCTCTTCCAGGCAAGGACAATCGCATTTAACCACTGTCTCAGGAAACAGAACTAGAAAACCATCAGGCCCCTGCAACGTTCTCTGCTCTGAAAACTAATCTTTAAATGCACATGCTCAGTGCTGAGAGAGAATTGCTTTGATTGGAACTCCCTCCGTGTTCACAAACACACACACTTGCACACAGAGACTTCCCTGTTCCGTTTCTGCTGAGGGCACAGATTGAAAGACTGAAAAGATTTTTCTTTAGAAGCCCAGTATGAACTCAAGACTGAACTTGACATGTTTTTCTATAGTGGAAATATAAATCATTTTGCAAAATAAAAACACCAATACGGAATTAGAGTATTTTCTTGGTGAAGAGGAAGGAAATCTGTGCGTGATCATCTCAAATTGCGAGCCACTGTGAACAAGTCAACAGGAGCGCTACACCAGCAAAGGAGGCCATGACATCACATGGAAAACTGAGAAAGGAAAAGGGGTGTCTGGCGGAGTATGAGACTCAAATCAAAGGTAAGAGAAATCAATTTGATTCTGGAATATTTAGTAAAGATGTTTGTGCAAATACTTTAACCACTGTCTATGGCATTGTGTGTGAAAAACATTACAGAGTATACAGAATTGCACTGTATTCTCTGATGGCAAGGCGCTTAATTTTAATTAATTGGAAACAGTAGTGTCCCCCTTCTTTTAAAGGGGGCCAGATATGTTTTACAATTCCTAAGCTAAGTTAATTTAAGGGGCTCTGGGTCCAAATTCAGTGTCATGTTGCATCCTTTCATAAATGATCTTCAAAACCAATTATAACTTTAAATGGGCGAACTGATGCTGGTGTCAGGTTTTGCTTATGATTTACTGATGTTATTCTTTCTCTTTTAGTCCTTCATATACTTTATATATGATGTGTGAGTACTGTATGTTTGTTGTTGATTGTTGTTTTAACAAATAAAAAATGGGGAGAGTGAGAGAAATTAATCTCATGCTCTCTTTCTTTTACTTGGCTTGGTAGTACAGACTAATGCACATCTCAAAATGTGATGTGTGTTCTATGTGTGAGATGTAGGCCTGGACTGTGATGTATTTATAGGCAGTATTAGGGATGCTGTCTTCCCTCATCCAATCAGCTCTGAGCCCCAGGCCAGAGCCACTAGTGCCAGGAGATGCAAATTCATTCGTTCATGCTGCTTTTTGTGCTGAAAATCATCCATTCATGATCTATTTCCCTTCTATCTCTTTGTTCAGAGGTGCGTGGTCAGCTATCAGAGCAGCTAAAAATCCTAGATGCGCAGCTGGAGGTCAAGACCCAGCAGCTGCAGGATCTAAGCGAGTACCTGCGCAGACGAGGGGAGATTGAGGCCGAATATGCCCGCTCTCTGGAGAAACTCAGCGAGAAGTTTACAGTGAAGACTAAGAGGTACCCACCCTGCTTTTGCAGTGATGGATGGATGGGTGGGTGGTTGTGTGGAAGTGTGGGAGTGTGGATTGATGGATGGATAGGTGAATAGATAGGTGGGTGGATGGATAGATGGATGGGTGAATGAATAGGTGGGTGGATGGAAGTATGGATGGATGAATGAATGAATGGATAGGGGTGGATGGATGGATGGATGGATGAATAATTGGTAGGTGGATGGATGGAAGGATGGATGGATAGGTGGATGGATGGATGGGTGAATGGATAGGGGATGAATTGATAGGGGATGGATGGGTGAGTGGATAGGTAGGTGGTGGATGGATGAGGATGGAAGGTAGGTGGTGGATGGATGGGAATATATGGTGGGGGGTGGATGGATGGGTGGGTGGGTTGGTGGGGGATGGATGGGTGAATGGATAGGTGGGTGGATGTATGGATGGGTGGGTGGATGGAGGATGGGTGGATGGATGGGTGAATATATAGGTTGGTGGGTGGATGGATGGGCGAATGGATAGGTAGGTAGGTGGGTGGATGGATGGATGGATGGCAAATGGATAGGTAGGTGGGTTAATAGGTGGATGGATAGATGGATGGGTGAATGGATAGGTAGGTAGGTGGGTGGATGGATGGATGGGCAAATGGATAGGTAGGTGGGTGGATGGATAGATGGATGGGTGAATGGATAGGTAGGTGGGTGGATAGATGGATTGGTGAATGGATAGGTAGATGGATGGATGGGTGAATGGATAGGTAGGTGGGTGGATGGATGGATGGATGCGTGAATGGATTGGTGGATGGATGGGTGAATGGATAGGTGGGTGGATGGAAGGACAGGAGGTTGATGGAAGTATGGATGGATGGATAGGGGATGGATAAGGGATGGATGGATCGATGGGTGGGTGGATGTTTGGATGTAAGTTTGGATGGATAGATAGGTGATGGATGGATGGATAAGTGGTCGATGGATGAATAGGTGGATGGATGGATAGGTGGGTGGATGTTTGGATGGATGGATAGATGGATAGATAGCTAGGTGGGTGGATGGATAGGTGGGTTTATAAATCAAATATAATTTTGTAAATTGCATAAATAATCATGAACAAATGAATATTGTGTACTTGTGTATTCTCACAGAGTACATTTTTTCCGTTTAAAAACATGAGATGCAGTGGCATAGAACCCCCCCACACACACACACACACACACAATGTCGCGAGACATGTTTTTAAAAGTTGAACTTCTTTTAATGGCTTTTGAAACATATGGCTCTATTGTGCAATACGTGGTGAGTGTAACAGTCAAAGATAACCATCTTTCCCATGTTTACAGAATGTATTGTTTTTGACGTGAAACAAGGTCTTCTCCAGCATTGAGCGTTTCTATTTCCACAATGATTTGAATGAACAACGCAGCACCGCCGCACAAGAAGGTTAAACTGGAAAAATCATTAAAACACCAAAAGGCAACACCTCTTACATCATCACCCCATTTCGTGTGCCACAAATAAGGCTGTGCACACCTATAATTTTAATGCACCGTTTTTGCATTTGAATGTGGATTTTTTCTTTTAAATTCAACGAATATTCAAAATTCTTCATTTTAATTTGACAGCCCGAATAGGTGGATGGATGGATAGACAGAGTGGCTTCATTGGCACATCATTTGGTTCAGTAACCAAATAAATGACTATTTGTGAGTCATAGAATCATTTACTCAACCAATTCATTCAAAAACACTAATCCATTTAGTAACACCACCACTGTGTTATTGCTCTGAGATGCGCAACTGCTATGGCTTCGTTCTGAAATATTTTAATTGGCTGAACCAAGTACATAAAGTAACTGGCAATATCATGTCTAAAATGTGAGCTACTCCATATTAACTGTTTAATTGTTTTTTATTCATGTTTCGTTTTTAAAATATATATATATTGACCTCTTAATTTTGAATCAAACTGGATTATCCGGTGAAGCGGAAGACGTCTCTCTAGTGATATATGCCAGATTTGCAAACTTCTCCGATCATTAGTCTTCTTAAAACCGCTCATTTCTCACAATCAACTGGAAGCTCACATTCAGAGCTGCCTTCATTCAAACAACAACCGACCGATAGAACCAAGTTCCCAGCATACATTTTTCTTTTCCAGGATTCCGTTTCACACTGAAGTACGTCACAATAAGGATGAAAAGATCGGTTGCGACATTAACCAACTCTTTCATTGTCTCTGCTCGTTTCTCTCTTTAGGAAGGAGCAGTTGGACCTGTCGGTGGCTCAGTGCTGGTCTGTTCTGCTGACCCAGACCAGGCAGGAGAGTAGAGATCACAGTTCACTGAGTGAGCTCTGCGGCAACACACTCACGCAGCGGCTCTCACACTGCATAGAGGACACACACCGCCTGGCAAAGCGGGTACAGAATCCCCACCATATTACCCGCTCAGACATCTAATTTCTCCCTCTTTCTCTTCCTCTTTTATTTACCGACATGAAACACTCCCACACAAAACACAGCCAAAGCATCTTCCTTATTTTTACACGCCGATTCTTATTCTCTGTTTCAGAGCAAGGAGGTGGGGCTCCAGATGCAGGATGAGCTCTTGAAAGTCACCACAGAGATGCAGACGGTATGTCGGAGGCTGAGAACATGCTAAATATACACTGAGCAACACGCTCTACTGAGTCCAAATGGCATCGGCTTTGAATAACATCATCTCACTGCGGCCAAAGACGGCATGATTTAACTTGACTAAATACCACATGATGCACATATTTGCTCATACATTCATGATTGAATGTGTCTGCATGTCTTTATATAGACCTCAGTGCAATTTGGTCCCTCCTGTAGCACAAAAAGCCCACGTGCCCCCCTGCTTTCCAGAGCTCGTTTTTCTCGCTGTGCTCGGGTCAGAGCTGCAAGATCAAGCCCACTGACCCCGGCCGACGGCAGCTGTGTGCTCTCTACCCTCCAGTGGACAAACAGCTTGCCTACCACAAGTGTCTCAGCGTTTTTTTGTTTGCGTGTGTCTTTTTGCAGTCTCTTAAAATAAATACGCCAAGCTTAATCATTAAGAATAAAAATAGGGATCTATAAGAGTATGTAAAATAGGATGTAATTGAGTATGACACCTTGGCAAGTAGTAGCCTAATCCTGGCTTAATCGAAGCCCTGTCTGTGAAACCGGGCCATGGCTTATTATGGTAAGTAATAAAAAGATTAGACCATGGATTAAAAATAAACTTCATATTAATAATAATAATTTATTATAATTGTTTTACTATTATTATTATTATAGTTTTATCTATCCATAGATTTAACAAAAAGCTTCAAATGTCTTTTAAAATAAGCCAATTATTTGCCCACGAATAAAACGATAAATTCAAAATAATGATAAAGATTAGTAATAAGAATAATAATTATTAATATCATTTTTGTTGTTTTTGTTATCGTGGCCTTTTTACCTTGTTTTTTTTATATATTTGAACATAAGCTTAAAATATCTGGCTTATTATGTTAAAAACAATAAATGGAGAAAAAATGGAGTAAAATTTGTCATTATTATTATTTTATTTTTTATCTTTTTTTTATTATTAATCTAACAATAAACGTTAAATATCTGGATTATTATGTTAAAAACAATCAAATATTTGCACATGGAGTAAAAATAAACTGATGTACTATTACTTAATTTCCACATTTTTCTTTCTCAAGTAAGTTTACCTTTACCTTGTGTTTAAGATGGTTAGATATCACTGATAAACAAGATACAAATATGAATTTCTGTGCATCTCTTACAGGCTTTGAAGACGTATCATCAATACCACATCGACTGTCTGGCTGCTGAAGGAAAGCTCAAAGAAGCCACACGTCTTGAGGAGAAACAGACGGGCAAGTCATCTGATCTCGGGCTCATCCAATCAGGGGGTCAGAGGCGCAGCTCTGTGAAAAAAATCGAGAGACTGATGGAGAAGGTAAAGTGCTAGTTTGTGATAAAAGAAAGATGGTAACATCCGGAGCTTCGCTCTGTGAAGATGGCACAGGAAGAGCAAGATCTCACTTTATCTCTAACCCCCAGTTTCCACTCTACTTGTGTTTTCTTTACAGAGACAAGGGAAAGTACAGGAAACTCAGCTGAAGTGCACTAAAGCTCGTAACGACTACTTGCTCAACTTGGCAGCAGCTAATGCCTCCATGAATAAGTACTATCTGGAGGACATTTGCACTCTGATTGATGTGAGTCTAACACATTTCTGTCCCATTATCTTCAGTCTAGACACTCTTTAGGATGTGGTTGTTTTAGTTCCCTTTTCATTTTGAATTGACCTCTGACCAAAAAATAGCACTGACCATTCTATCTAATGTATTTACTGTATGTCCATTGAGAGAACACTACAGAAAACCATTTACGCTACCACCAGTGAAAAGTATGAACATACTTCTTAACAGCTTTTGATCTGAAGCTTTATTCTTAAAGGTCCCCGACATGAAATGTTCACTTTCTGAGGTTTTTTAACATTTATATTAGTTCCCCTAGCCTGTATTTGGTCCCCTCATGTGTAGAATTTTCAATCGGTGTAAACCGAGCTTTGGCTATTTTTCTCTTCTCTGCAGCTCAGACGCGCTGATCTTGAATCTCCTCGTTATTGCGTCATAACGAGGAAAGGTTACCTCCCCTTTCTTTGCTTTGCCCGCTCAGAGAATTTGGCCCGCCCATGAGAAAATGAGCTAGGTCACAGGGTTCACCAATCTCGGTCCTGGAGGGCCACTGTCCCAGCAGAGTTTAACTCCAACCCTGATCAAACACGCCTACCTGTGAGTTTCTACTGATCCCGAAGCCCTTGATTAGCTTGCTCAGGTGTGTTTGATCAGGGTTGGAGCTAAACTCTGCAGGGACAGTGGCCCTCCAGGACCGAGATTGGTGAACCCAGAGCTAGGAAGTACGAACGCGTGAGCGCGATTTGACTTTTTCCTAGAGAAATAGCTTTGAGATTTGAGTTTTTCCTCAAGAGATATCATGGCTTGCAAACGAGCGAAGCATGGCAGTTGATCAATGTTCTGATGTACAAATTGAACCCAAAAGTATTTTTAGTTCCTTCATCCGAGCCTCTGAAGAAACAATGGGTTCATTTTATTTTACACAACTTCCAAAAATTTTGTATGGTCCAAATATTTCACCGACGACTGTTTCCTCATTAGAGGCCGGTTGCACACAGCAGACACGCCCCTTCAAACAGAGCGTTCAAATCAGAGGCTAAAATCAGGCTAGGAAAAATGCCTTTTATTACTAAATGATGACTATTTTTGATCTAGGGCAACCCAGGAAACATTATAAAATAATAAAATAACCCCATGTCAGGGGACCTTTAAATGCTTTAAAAGCTTTATAAGACAAATATTTATAGGGCCTATGTATGAATTTCTTGTCAAAACTATTTTTAATGAATGAGTAGGATTACAAAGATGAAAGAAAAGAGCCTATCACAGCTTACCTACTGTTAAAATCCCAGAATGCACCTCACGAAGTCACTTGATAATTCCCACACTTCCATATGTGTTATTTCATAGTTTCAATGGCTTCACTATTGTTCTACTTTTTGATAGGCAGTGTGCATCTTTTATGGCACTGATATCTTCAGCTGAGCTCTGAAATGTGTGTGATGGTTTGTTATTCCCATTGCCTGAGGCACGTAGTAGAACATGTCACGTCAAAAACATCACAGCAGGTTTAGTCAGTGAGCATGAATCAGAACATTCATGTTTGCTCAAGCAATGACTGTATTTTCTTCATTTTTGTCTTTATCTTGCCATCGGGCTGATGTTGAACGCAGTGCACAGATCTGGGGTACCACCTGTCTGTGTCTAGGGTTATACGCGGATACCTCTCCAACAGAAACCGAACACTCCAGAATATGAAAAACGGCTTTCAGCAGCTAGACACGGCAGTGACTGGACTCAACCAGAGCCAGGATAGAGATGCTCTGCTTCAGGCCCACAACACTGCGTTTTGCCTGCCTTTCCGCTTTCAGTACCAGCCCCATGAAGGAGACCAGGTAACGCATGAGAGAGACTAAATGTGCTCAGTGCAGCTTTCAGTAGCTCTTGAATGAATGAAATCCTTGAAATACTCTGGTGTTATAATGAGTATAATGATAATATATTAAGATATTAAACTTTTGTAATGTTTTAATATAAAATATATCTTGTATTTGAATGCATTGCACAACCAAGATTTTTAATAGAAATTCATTTTTTAATTCAGCAAGGATGCATTAAATTGATCAAAAGTCACCATAAAGATATTTATAATGTAAAAAAAAAAGAACTATTTAAAAATAAATACTGTTCTTTTGAACTTTCTATTGGTAAGAGTATCCTGGGGGGGAAAAAAACAGTTTCCACAAAACAATGTTTTCAACATTGATAATAATAAGAAATGTTTCTTGAGCAGCAAATCAGCCTGAAGGGTAATAAAATATATAAAAATAGAAAACTCTTGTTGGAATTTATAATATTTTGCAATATTACTGTTTTTACGGTGAGCATAAGAGACTTCTTTCAAAAACATGAACAAATCTTTACCAACCCCAAGCTAACTATATAGTGTAGTATAAATAAATACAAAATGAAAATTTATAAAACTTATATTGTTTATAAATAATAGATTTAATATCATTTTCAAGGCATAACTAAATATATATATATTTTTTTTAATTTGACACCAATTGACTGTTCGCAAAGACCCGTCCATCAAATCCTCCCATGTAAATTTACTATCTCTCCTGACTGCTTTGACGAAGTATGATTGGTCAGATCACCTGTCGATCAAGCTCCTTGCGAAGGGTCAATTGTTGTCACCCATAATTCCTTTTTGGAAACCGAAAGGGTTTAAAAATAAGGGATTACCAAGATAAAATAAGTAATATTGTTCTGGTCATGTGGTCATCAGGAGAGGCGGGCATTATGTAGAATAAAAACATCTGGTGTATGTGATAGGTGTGTGAGGTGAGCGCAGAAGGCCAGGTGAGGTATGAGCTTGAGACCAGATTCCAGCAGCTTCAGTCCAGACTGGCATCCGTTACCTTGGAAACTGACGAGGTAAAATCTATGCTACGCTCTTTATTTTGGTGCACTCCTCCAGAGATGCTCATTGCAGCACTATGCGTCTCTTTTATGCTGTTATTTTTACTTTTCACTGACTTCAGGTCAGTAAGACACTTAAGACAACACACTCAAATCTTCTGGAGAGCATCTGTGATGATGATTGCATCCCCGCCCCGGACGCCTCCGCCGCCCCATCAGTGGAGAGCACGGGTGACGGAACAGGAGCCAAACCCAGCCTTGCCAAACGCAGAGCCAATCAACAGGACACAGAGACCTTCTACTTTACAGTAAGAGCTCTTCCCAACATGGATGTGCTATATGACCAAAAATATGTGGAAACTTCCTTCTATTCAGCAAGGATTCATTAAATTGATCAAAAGTGACAGTTAACGTGATTAATGTTTTCATGTTCAAAAAAAGAAAAGATTCTATTTATTAAAGAATACTGAAAAAATATTCCACAATAATATTAAACCGCATAACTTTTGTCAACATTGAAAAAAATTAGAAATGATTTGAATATTTGAATGATCGAGTAATGATGCTGAAAATTCAGCTTTGATCACAGGAATAAATTACATTTTAAAAATATATTGCAGTAGAAAACGGGTATTTTAAATATTAATAGTATTTTGCAATGTTACTACTGTATTTTTTTTTATCAAGTAAGCAGTCTTGTTGAGCTTAAGAGACTTCTTTCAAAAAGAATGGTAGTGTACTGGATACCTTTGGCTTTATAATGTTCATGCAAATCATATGGCGGAAAAGTAAATAACTTGATGACTAAAAATAACTTGGTCATTCATATTCAATGTTTTTATTTTTTAGAAAGTGAAGGAGAATGTAAGCGGCAGCTCTCTGATCTCCAAACTCGAAGCCAAGCATGACCTACTTAAAGAGGCCATACAGAAAGGTAACTAACCACAACTAATCTGTGCTTCGACTAAAAATAAAGACAGTAAATAAAAGAAGAAAGAATGAATCTAATGCCCTCATAAAATATAGAAATAAATAAAAGTTTCCAATGTTATTGTGGCAACGGTGACTTTAGTAACTATGTATTCGGGCAAAAAAAATGATGCGATTGATAACCTCTCTATCCTCATTCTACCCCTCGTTCTCTTTTGCAGCTGAGGCCATTGATAGCGATCCCTCCAGGTACGTCTCCCATCCCATCTGTCTCTGTGACTATGAGCAGTTCACACAGTCATGTGCTGACAACATTGGCCGCAATCCAGCAAACATCTGCTCTTGTTTCCTGGCCGACGGCCTTTGCGTGCTCAGCAGAAATTAAGACGGCTCCATTGAGAAATGTAACGATCAGTTTAATTGACTGGAGTGATCGAACAAAACACAGTCAATTTCCTAATGAGGCTAAAACATCTCATTGTGGGATAAATAGAGTGCGTATTGACCCCAAACGGTGTGCATGCTCTAGAGTACATTTCTGTTTGTGTTGTTGTCTGTTCTGTGTGAATTACTGTTATGTTAGCATGTTTGCATGAGTACACTGATGCCATAGTGTCACAGTGGAGTGCCGGTGTATATATTTCCCAGAATGCAGCCTGGTAGGGCAGTGCGTGTGCGGAAAGCCAGGCCCTGCTCCCAGTACAACCACAAACTCTTCTCTGGAGACATGCTCTCCTTCATTCAGGTATAGCCCTGCGGCTGACAGCCCTCTGCTCTGTTACGGACAGATTTCTGTAATGTTCTTGCTGTGTTCCTCTAACTCCATTCCCTCCATGGCTTCCTTAACACTAGCGCCTCACTCTCATGTGCTTCTGGTCATGTGTGTTGCATTTGTGCAGTTCTGATATGGCTTTGAGCATGGCCTTCCCTTAGTCTGACTATTGCCTCTGTTAATGATTACTCGTGAATTTCGGTGTGACCAGTCGGCTTGTAAATGTTAAATTATGAGAACATCCATGGAGATAATGTGATCTCTTCATGCTCCCCGAGAAAGGTTGGAGACATTGGCGCGGCTTGCACGATTGTGTTACTGAATCTTATTTGAAATGACATGCTATGTTATTTCCATGAAGTGACATGGCTGCTTATTAAATCGGGTGAGACAGACGCGCACGCTCACAGTGTTCTCTCCAGGCATCTGTGTGCAGCCTAATAATCCGTGTGCTAAGCAACAAAAACGTGTGTTCACCTGTGGGAGTGCATGCATGTTTTTTTGCATGTGTGTGTGCTTATAAGATCCACTGTGAATACTGCATCATTTCAAAAGTTATCAAAGCCTCTTGCTCAGTTTTTTAATGCCTATAAAAACAATGTGTCTTGCTTTTCATTGAAACTGCTGGCAAGTGTTTTTTTTTTTTTAATAGCCTTGGTTCTGGAATTTCTTCATTGTTTTCTCCATAGGGATTTAAGAAATAAAAACAGGGAACGAACAGTTCAAGGAATTAACAATGCCATAAAGAATTATGAATGAGTAAAATCCAAAAGCGCAATAATAAACTATTGACACGTTTACATATTTAAGTGTATATATTTATAAATGTGGAAATATACGAGTATAAATTGAACATATTGAACAATTTAAACATAATGAAATTTAAATATTTACTCATTTATTATATAATATTTATAAGTATAATAAAATTAGTCAATTAAATTAGAATTATATATAATACATTTATAATTATTTATAAATACAATTAAATAATTATAGCTAATTAAAATAATACAAAATAATATATATATATATATATATATATATATATATATATATTAGGGCTGTCAAACGATTAATCATAAAAAAAAATTGTGTTTACATAATATATGTGGGTGCACTGTGTATAATTATTTTTATATATATATATAAATACACACACATGTGTGTGTATTTCTATATACTAATTAATTATACACGGTGCACCCACATATATTATGTAAACACAAACTTTTATTTTGGATGTGATTAATCGCGATTAATCATTTGACAGCCCTAATAAATAAATATATTAAATTTTTGTTATCATTAAATGCATCAGATATGCGTCTTTTTTGTTTACTTATGTTTCAGTGGGTTGCTTCTCTTAAGCCCTTTTGTCGCAATTTCTTTTTCCTTGTGATTGGTGAAGATTTGTGTATCTTTGGGTGTTGTAGTTCTTTACTGGGATTGGAATGAAGTTTAAAATTACACTTGTGGCTTCTACATAAGTATAGATTGCTTTTTATGTCGTCTACAAATCTATATGGAGAAAACAAATAGGTTTTTATTAGCATCATATGATGCCTGATGCCTGTTACTGGTTACTGTTTTACAAACTGCGGTTTCAAGATGTAGCCCTCTGATAGCACTGGGGAACTCCAGACTTCACACTTTTAAGTTTTCTGAGCTTATACCCTAGCTGTTACAATAGAGCTCAAAGCGGCTACTGTATAAAGCCAGATAAATTCTGCACCGTCTAAGAGCCGTCACTCTTGTTTTTTGCCTTATCTGCACTTGATGTCCTTGGCTCTTTGGCAGTGTCCTTAGGAGACCATTGACACCAGACCACCCTGCTGAAAAGACTAGCTTAGACCAGCATGCATTTTATTTTATTCTTATATTATCGTTTACTCACCCTTATGTTGTTCCAAATCTGTACGTGTTTCTTTCTTCTGATTAACACAAAAGAAGATATTTCGAAGAATTATGTTAGTTAAATCCGAAAATTGAAAATTGAATATAGAAAATCTGCTGTCATTCCTTCGTCTTCCTTTTCTAAGCTATTCGAGGTTGATTTATTGTTGGTCTGACTGAGCGTAACAAACATTGAACATAGGTCAAATTGGTCAACCAGAATGGTCTTTCTGGTGAAGCTGGTCAGCGAGGGAAATCTTGATGATTATGCTATTTAAGAAGCATATTGGGGAAGCCAGCGTCCACCAGACAGCATATGCTGGTGAGCAGTCATGCTAGTGGTTTCAGCAGGGCGCTCCCTATTCTCTGAGATTCCCACCGTGTGTCTCTCTGTCCCTCTCAATTCCTGGGAGCTCAGGCCTGTAGAGCACTGCTCTGCCATCTGGCTCTCTTGCACCATGAGAAACTACTTCCTTGCTCCACTTCCATTCTCTCACACTTTTCTTCTATTGTGGTGGAGTGTCTAACAGTGTCTGCTACATCCTGCATTAGCAATGGCTGGTGTATCTCTTCATCTTAAGTGGACAGTTAATCTATGAGATGTGCACTCTCGTTACACCGCTAATAATCGGATAATGCAGTCAGGGCTACAGAATTGCTTTGCCAACAACACTTTTTTGGTAGATTGATTGACTGATCAATGGGTGCAGCCCAGTAAAATGGAAAAAAGAAAAATTCACGTGGATTGAAATCAGATTTAGGAACATTGCTAGCATCGAGCTATGCTAACATGTTGTTTCTGACCCCTATTCCCTTAAGGAGCATAATTTCGTGACCTATTTTGACAATTTTCCATTGAAACAAGATGTTTGGATGAGATATGTTGAAGTAATTGTTCTTTTTTTATGATAAAGGATTTAATGATTATAGGCATTATATCTGCACTTTGAATAATTCTAGATACTTTTTATATCTGAAATGTTTAGATTTTTAGAATGCACTTTAGCTTATTTAACCACATCAACCGTTTATAATGTACTGCATACACATTTCAGATTTTTGCATTGTTCTGAACAAAAATAGCAGACAGCTTGAATGAAAATCCACTCTCTGACAGTAGGTGGCGCTTATGGAACGGCTGAATTAGAAATTTCTCTGTACACAAAGCAGCTCTACAAAGTAGTTTGATTAAAAAAGAAATCGAACGAGTAGCCTACGAATCGCTAAATAAAATCGACGACACTCACCTTTCGGCTTTTAAAAGTTCTTCACATTCAGCCAAATTCTACACTATGTATGCCCATAAAAGGGCAAAATATGGCTAACTCTGCTTATTGCAGGATATTATTTACTGTGAGCTTTTCAAATCATGATAATCAAATACGGTTTTAATTAAAATATGCAATGGTAATACTAACCGTCTGGAATTTTATCATGGCTTATCGCCAAACCTTTCTTATCTTTGTCCAGTCTCTTCACAAAATATTATCAAAACCTTCCGCAAATTATAAATGTCTTTACTGCCACTTTTGATCAATTGATCAGCTCAAAACACCCCAAACTTTTGACTTGTAGTGTATATACCTACTGAAAGTGTATTTTGTCAATGTCCAGGAGTACACTAGCAAATAAATAACAAAACTTTTGATTTTATGCTGCTTTTAAGCCCATTATTATTGTCTAGCCAGTAGGCCTAGTACATTAACAGAGCATCCCTGACATGTTGCTTTTCATCTAAACTCCTTGTTCTCTGCTTTTGTCTTTCTCCCTTACCCCAATTTTTCTACCCCTTTTCTGACTGCTTTTGCTTTCGTTTGCTTTTATGTCATTCTCTCCTCACTTTTCATGTTGCACACTCCTTCTGGTCATGCCAAACAATCTACTCCTCCTTTATATGTCCCTCCTGTCTCTTTCTTTCCTTGCTTGGCTGGCTGTGACTGTAGAAGGAGGCGGCGGATGTCGAGGACTCAGGTACAGCTGTTTCCCCTGTCATGCATGCATCTGTTTGTGTGGGTAAATGTATTTCTGTGCTCTCTGGACTCTTTGTCTCTCTATTGGCACATTATGTTTACTATTCTTTATATGTATGTTTGTATTTATTTATTTCGTGATTGCTTCCAATACAACTCTGTTCCCATCCAGACGTGCATAATTCCCTATTTCCCTCCTTTCTCTTTCTAATAGAGCTCAGGGCAACAGATCCCCCTGGTGGTGGAGAGCTGCATTCGCTTCATCAACCTGCATGGTAAAATTTGTTAATTCTAAGACAATCCCTTATTATAATTACAGTCATATATCAGTATTATTCATTGATGACTGTTAATATTACATTTATGAGCACCTTTAATAATGTAGGTTGTATTAATGTAAACGAGTGAGTATTTATTTATGTGTGAATATAAATGTGATCTTTTAACAGGTCTGCATCATGAAGGCATTTTTAGAGTTCCTGGATCACAGACTGAAGTCAATCATATCAGGGATGCCTTTGAAAGAGGTATGATCATGTTTAAATTGATGAATACAAGGTGTATTAAAATAAGAATGTTGCTTGAAGCAATGCACATTTGGCTGGTAATTATCAAAAAAATAAAATAAATAAATAAATCACTGTTTATATTACAATAATGACTGACTGAATGTACACTACTGTTCAAAAGTTTGTAGGTTAGTCAGAATTATATATATTTTTTTAGTAAGGATGCATTCAATTGATCAAAAGTGACCGTAAACACATGTATAATGTTACAAAAGAATTCTGTTTCAAATAAATGGTGTTCTTTTGAATTTTTTATTCATCGAAGAATCCTGAAAAAAAAAATGATCACAAAAAATAGAGCAACACAACTGTTTTCAACATTAAAGCTACACTGTGTGATTTTTACCCCCATCTAGCGGTGAAAAGGTATATGACGATCCAGTGAATATTAGTTTCTGTTCCTCTCAATTTCGTTTTAACTCCTATGGTGGCCAATGTAGTCCAAGATTAACATGGCTTCCAGTTCGACCTCGTCCATGAGCGTTAACTAAAACGTAAATGCGAAAGGCGAAGCTTGAATTAACGGATATGTCCCTCTTTGGCTAATGTACTTTCAAGATGGAGGGGCAACATGGCGACTGACATTAGAACCCCTTACCCGTATATATTTTCAATGGCAAATTATACATTCACGAGGATACTTTATTACTCGAACGAAGTAAATATACATTAATGAGCACATATATTTTCGAAAGAACTAAGTGTTTTTAGCTAAGAATAAACTAAAAGAGTTACACAGTGTAGCTTCAATAATAAGAAATCTTTCTTGAGCAGCATATTAGAATGATTTCTGAAGGATCAGCTTTGACATCTCAGGAATAAATTACATTTAGAAATATTTAAAAAAAAAAAAGATTTTACATTGTAATACTATTTCACAATATTACAAGTTTTACTGTATTTTTCATTAAAAAATCTTACCGATCCCAAACTTTGAACAATTGGTAGTGTATATTATATTATATACAATATATTTATATACAAATATGCCTTTTTGTTCAGTCTCTTGTCTGATTTCTGTTCTCGGTAACTGTTCTTCTCTCTTTAATTGGGTGATGCAGGAGAGGACCCGCTCACGGACACTGAGAGTGACATTGATTCAGTGGCAGGGGTTCTGAAGCTGTATTTCCGAGGTCTAGAAAAACCTCTGTTCCCCGAGGAAAGCTTTAGCCGTCTCATGGAGTGTGTCCGTAAGATGCCTTTCATGTCTACATATTAATTTGCTTTAAAAAAAATTCATGTACTGTTTTTGAAAGTCTTAATTGAGTTGACTATTAACTCTGTGTCTCTTTCAGAGATGGAAAACATGACAGAAAAAGTAGTGCAGATTAAGACGATAGTCTCGACCTTCCCCAGACCCGTCATCATAGTGATGCGCTATCTCTTTGCCTTCCTTCATCAGTGAGTCCTGCTCTCTTTTTCTTAAAGGCCCACGTAATCGTTCCAAACCTGATTATGCTGTGCAGTGATGCAGTTTGTAACCTGTTTTGTTTGTGTCTGTTCAGTGTCTCTCAGTACAGTGATGAGAACATGATGCAGCCGTATAACCTGGCCGTGTGCTTCGGCCCCAGTCTGCTCAGAGGGGTGGAGATGGGTGGTGATGAAGTGACCCTGGCACCTCAGATCAATGACCTTGTCAAGACCATGATCCTCCATCACGAGAACATTTACCCAGGGCCATCCGAACTCCCGGGCCCTGTCTATGAGAAATGCATGACTCTGGAGCAGGAGTACTGGTGAGTCCCAAGGTCCTTTTTTTAAGGGGTAGAAAGAAGTTTGAAACACCTGAGCAGCGGTATACTTTTAGCAAACATACTGCTCAGAGCAGTGTTTAGATGAAAATGTAAATATGGACTTTCCTCTCAATAGTAAAATAAATCGGAAAACAGCAGTTAAAGGGTAACTAAACCCTAAACCAACTTTTTTTAGTTAATGATCTGTAAGAATGGGGCTTTTTTTAATGCTGGTCATTGATTCGAGTAACTTTTTTGACATTTGGGTATAATAAAGTGTTTTAATTCTACAATATATGGTGTAAAAACGTCTTAGTGCTGACCTCTTCAGTTTGAACGGTGGCAGTTGAATTTTCCTATTGGATGTTTGCGGTTCTTCGTGTGGTCGGCGGGGAGAGTTGACGTAAGCTGATCTAGCGCACCACGCCCTTGGTACAAGCTACCACGCCTTCGGCAGTTTAAAACCCATCTTGTTTCGTCAAAACCACTGCAAGTCAAGAGTTGGAATTACGAGTATTGAAATCTATCAGGATAGCGTATGGTAATATCTTTTATCATAGCATTTATATAGTTATTTAGATTTTATTTTACTCACAATTTATGGTTAGGCTAAAGTTAATGCTCTGGGGTCGACAAACACGCCGGCGCATTTTGCTGGATTTTTTCCACATAGCGGCAAAATAGCAATATGAATACATGCCTACAGAGAGCGAGCTATTGACATCAACTCAACAAAACACATCAGATGCTGATCGCGATGTGGGAGTTAAAGGAGTAGTTCACTTTTAAAAAAACTTTTGCTGATAATTTACTCACCCCCATGTCATCCAAGATGTCCATGTCATTCTTTCTTCAGTCTTCAAAGAAATTAAGATTTTTGATGAAAACATTCCAGCATTTCTCTCCATATAATGGTAATGGACTTCAGTGGGAACCAAACGGTTCATGGTCCAAAAGACAGTTTCAGTGCAAACTGCAAACTGTTCAAAGGGCTTTAAATGATTCCAGACGATGAATGAGGGTCTTATCTAGCGAAACGATCGCTTGTTTAAAAAAAACAAAACAAAGTTTAAGTTTTATAAGCTCAAATGGTCGCCTTGCTCTGTTCAGTGATGCACGTTCGTGACTCTCCTATTCGAACTCGTTCATCAAAATGAACGAATCTTTTCCCGAGTCAATTCGTTCATTTCATTCGTTGAATGAACCAAATGACACGAAAAAAGATTTGTTAATGGAAGGATGTATGGATATCTCTATCTATACAGATACACCAACAATATCAAACTATACAAATAAAATTGTTCTGAATTATGTGTGTTACACACACGTGTTACAACAAACCTCTCTGTCTGTTACAATTAACCCCGCAAATGGAGTAAGTTGTAACATTTGTACTTCTGTCACTTTCAGTGCAACAGTACAAAAATGGTAGGTCCTAGAATAAAACTTTTAGTGTTCATTTGTAGCACAGATGTGTATATTGCTTTTGTAAAAAAAAAGTTAAATCTAACTTAATAATTTTTTAAATAATTGACCCAAAACCAAAATGCGTTATGTTGTGCCCCGCTCTTCCCTATATCGGGGCCTTTGGAGGGTTAGTCTTTTAAACTCCTTTCGCTTTTGTTTTTGGGTGTTGCACAAAAAAGATCTTAATTTTTAAAGAATAGTAAGCAATTCTTGCCAGGATTTTTCCAATATTTTTGTGTTTTTTACTTTTAAATAACACCAACCTCTTTTTCCAGTGAACCCATCACAGAGGAGTGCGAGGGAGAAGCTGAACATCCTCCCAGTGAAGATGGTAAGAAAGTACAACATACATCATGACAATTTATTTTTAAACCTTTGAAGTTTCAATTAATCTAAATGTTTCAATCCCATGTGTGTTCTATGTTGGGTTTTTGTGTGCTTTTGTGCTTATGTGGCATTTCTGTTGCCATGCTTTGTGTTGTCTGGATGCATTGTATGAGCAGAGTGTGAGGCTGTGGCCATGTTTGATTATGTTGCACGCTCTGCAGCCGAGCTGTCATTCAAGCAGGGTGACCACCTCCTACTACACAGCAAGGTCTCTGCTGATTGGTGGAGAGGGGAACTAGGAGGAATGAGAGGCCTGATCCCCCATAAGTACATCAGTATGGTTGAGGGGTGAGACCATATTTACTATAAACTATACAAGGTTCCTTTAAACATTGCATTGGTGTTGCTATTACAACTACAAATGAACAAAGCCTTGTTGCTTACTTGTTACAAAGACAGCATCCTGACCCAGAAAGGGATTGATTTAAAGCATGATATGCATTATAGACAGCAACTCTGTGCTCCACACTTGTGTCTCTTGACTGGAATAATTGTTCAACAGTGGCACTAGGGAGATTTATAATATTTCTATTTCAAAAACATGATGTCTGTTTTAACTTCTGTATCACTGTTTCCACAAAAATATGAAGCAACACAACTGTTTTCAACACTGATCGTAATTCAGCAATTAAAAATTCAGCCTTGAAATCAAAGGAATAAATTACATTTTATATATTACATAGAAAACAAGTATTTATTGTTCTAATATTTTACAATTCTACTTTATTTTTGATTAAATGTGATAATAAACACTTTCAAAAACCTTACCAACTCCAATCTTTTGAACAGGAGTGTAAACATAAATATGAAAAAAATACATAGCCCACACAAACATTAAGTAAATCAGGTAATCTATTACACAGAACAATTTTTTTCATTTTTTCTGTGCTTTTGAAACAGCTAATGAGCATAATTTGCTAACTAAATTGATTAATCTGCTTTTATATTACCATGTTTGAATCTGTCAGAAATGTCACTAATAGACTTTAGTCATAGTAGATTTCATTTGTCACTAACAGACTGCGAGGGACAGTTCATTCAATGTCATGCTGAAAATAAGGCTCAAGGTCACATCTAATGTTTTGTTGGCAGAATGGTCAACATCCAGATACGCAGACATAACAGGCCTCATTCATGAAATGCAAGAAGAACAAACATTTACATCCAATCTTGCATAATTGTCTCATTCAATTCACTGTAGCCATTTACGTAAGAATGGATTTATGAATGATTTACACAAATTTGTTCCGCTTGTATTGTTTTATGAATGAGACTCGTCAAACGGGCTGTTAATGCATCCCTCAGAGCCTTGTTTTTGCATTAAATAAAATATGGTGTCTAAACTGATGCAGTTTAAAGAAAACATAATAAGCAAACGTATTGCTTTTGTTCTAATGCAATATCTTGGCAGCCATAACCTTAACATTAGCTTTAGTAACCTCATCTTGTTGTCTTCGCATCCTCAGGGCGGAGCGTAAGGAACGAGGGAAGAAGGATGACAACAAAGGGGGAAGCACAGGAAACCTATCAGAAGAACAGCAGCAGTCTGAACAGAGCACCAGGTACATTTCTCAGACCGCACCATGGTGCTCTACACAGGCCCACTGAGATCTTACAGTCTCTGCACTGTGTTTGCTGTTATTCCCCAGGATGAGAGTGAACAGTGACAGCGCTTCTTTGCCCTGCCGGCAGAGGACCAGCAGTGGAGGAAGCAGTATAGGTGGAGGCAGCAGTGGGAATGTGAGCCCCATACGGAAGCTCACCCTGCAGGTGCCCGAGGGACGACTCATCCTTCCTCCTCAGTCAGCTGCACGCCAATTTTCAGGGTAGGAGAACAGAAGCTGTTGTTTTGATGGTACCAGCTGCTGAAAGGCATGTGCATGAGGCGTGATCTGAGTATGCAGTGGTGTAGTCTAGTTTTTTGTAGTGAATATACTGTATATAGCAGTCTTTTTGAGCTTTGGTATTCATAGACACTACATATCGAGATTTGTTTCATTGTACATCCCTACTTTTGATTTATTCATTCAAAAATGGCCAAATTGCGTGACATTCCGCTTTGCAGCTACTTACATCTGTGACTGGATTCCACGAATCGTTCTGTGTGGCTGCGCAAACACAGGCAACGGTGAATTTATGAATGAAAGTTCTGTCACGAAACGATGTTGTTACGAATCCTCACGGATTTTTAAAGTGGTTATACGGAAATCCTTGACATTTTCTAGTGGGTATACGGCGTATTCCTGCGTATCACGTAGACTACACCACTGTGAGTATGTGACCGCCATTAAACCCCAATGAGCTTACAGAATAATTTTTTGAGATGACAAAAAAGTTTAGGGTCAGTAGGATAAATAAATAAATAATAAAATATATATATATATATATATATATATATATATATATATATATATACAATTTTGGAAGGATGCATTGAATTAAAAGTCTCAATCTCAAAAGTGACAGTTGAACCATTTGTAATGTTACAAAAAGATTTTTATTTCAAATAAATGCTGTTTTTTTTTTTTTTTAACTTTCTATTCATAAAAGAATCCAGTCCATTTTAAAAATCCATTTTTATTGGCTAGTCAGCTAACAGAAAATGTCAGAGAATGGTCCTAGGCTATCTTTGGTCACAAGACCGTGCCAACGGCCATCTTTGAACCTCTCTCACTGTACGACGTAGGACCACTGTTTAGGAGCCATGACCACAGGAATCGCCACAATTGGTCATCTTTCGTCTGGAACAGCCCAAAACTGTACAATGTGCTCCGGGCATTAAGCTGCAAATTAGAATGATTTCTGAAGAATCGTGTGAAGACTGGAGAAATGATCCTGAAAATTCAGCTTTGCGTCACAGTAATATATTAAAATAGAAAACGGTTACTTTAGATTGTAAAACTATTCCACAACGTTACTGTCCCAAACTTTTGAATGGTAGTGTATGTTGTTGTAAGTAATTGAAATTTTTCCCTTCTCTATGCCTTTTTTTCTCTTCAGTCATCAAGAGCGCAGACACACTTTGGACAGTCTGAGGCCAGTAGGAGGAGCAGCCGACAGACAGACGGTACATATCGACAAGGTCTGATTCTCATACTGACTGACATTTCACAAAAAAAAAAAAAAAACAACCTTTTTTATTTATGATAAGCTGACATATTTTATCAGGTAGAAACTGCTGAGAAATTGAAAAAATCCCCCATAAACTAATACAAAAGGTTTTTTAAACTAAAATCATGGATTTAGTTGTTAATTATAAATTAATAATTTTAATACATTACAAGCAGCTTTGTCATTTACAGCAGGAGTACCAGAAATATCTTATCTTTGTAAATTACTTGGACGATGGGGGCCTTAAAATCTAAAAGCCTGAGAACCACTGATTTAAATCTGAACATAGAAACCCATATGAAAATCCTAATGTTTTAATGACCGATTCTCTCTTTCTCATAGGAGGTCAGTCGCCAGATGAACTCTGTGTTTAGGGAGCTGTTGTCTCGTCAACCTCCTCTGGAAGTCTCGGGTTCGAGCGCTCCCCCCTCCTCTCCCCCTGCATCTGTCCCGTCGGTTGCCTCCGCTGCGGCTCGACCTCCGGTGAAGAAGGGAGGCTTCGGCCTGCGCAGCAGAGGTCTCTTCAAACCCCAAGACCAGCAGGACTGAGGGAGAGGAAGGGATGTTATACGAGTGAATCTGAGTATGAGTGTTGGGGGGACAGCAAACTCATCACAGATATGAATATATTTTTCCAGACATACAATATATGGTACTCTTTACGCCTTATTAACTATTCGTGTGAGACCACGTCATTGATCCTAATATTGGTTGTATTTGTGTTTTACTAGCTTTGATAACAGTTAATCTGGTCCTCGGTTAAGAATTTCCTACTCTAATCATTCACCGCAGTGATGTCCAATGTGTCTGACGTTTTTGACTGTAGAGTTGGCTGTGTTCTTTTGGAAAAACATAACTATCTGCTGATGATGTATTCATGGAGCACCATGGGGTCCCTCAAAGCACATAGATTCTGATTGGGAAGTGAATTGTGGGAATGATGTCCATGACAGAGAGTCCACACTGTAATTTATATATAGATGTGTCACTCTGAATGTAGCAAGAGATTAATGAAGGCCACTCAGATGTTTGCGAACCAAGAGATCTACTTTAGGTGTTTTTTTTTTTTGTTTTTTTTTTTTGCTTTTTGATATTATGCATAGCTCGAGTAGTTCAAGGTACGACATGATGAATATTAAAATGCTCCAGTGTTTATTTTTAGATGATTCATTTGGGTTTTTTTTTTATCATTTGCTATTTAATTTTTTTTTTTTTTTTTTTTTACATTTAATTGCATTACTATTTTTACAATTAGTTGCATTACAATGGATTATTCTTTAAAAAGCATTCTGTTGTAAAGGAACCAGCACATATGCATGCAATGTGCTGGGATGGTCTCGCGTGGGAACAGGTGGGACGGCCAAAATAAGCACAGCTCTGTAGCCTTTTTTTATCCCGCCGGCTCCATGTGAAAAAGACAACTGTGAAGATAAGTGCCACAAAGCAGCTCAGGAACTGTCCAACAGAGAAGTGACTGGAGAAAAGAACAAACTGTGAAAAGGCACATGTAGTCACAGGAAGTACAATGGCACTCACTTCCTTTTCGCTGCACATATTAATGCCTCTGGTTACTGGTCCCCTCTCGACTTCCACCCCATCACCCATCCCTTCCCCTTAGCAGTGTGTGTCTCTGGTAGATGATGTCATCATTGATATGTGGATTATAATATTATCGAAATAAATTATAGATTCTAAAATACTGCTGACTTGTCAAATACTCTTAAAATATGTCACTCTTAACATGTTATATATATATATATATACACTCTTATCATTTAATACATTAAACTAGATTTTTAAAAATATATATTTTCAGTTTTCATTTTATCCGTTGTGTTTTTTTCTATTTAGCTTTTTTTCTATTTTTATTTCATATTAAGATATTTGAGTACTTTAACTTAAACTTGTATTTTATCTCTGTTTCAATTTATTTATCTGTTTCAATTTTTTATTATTTAATTTTATTTATTTATTTTCATATTTGATTTTATTTCAGCTTTATTTCAATGGAAACTGTTTGGATTAGTTGAGCAATGAGCAATACATTTTAAACAGTATTTTTCAATCTTTATTTCATTATTTCATGTTAGCCAGAATTCATTAAATAATATTAATAGATACAACTTTTGCTTTTGATAATGTAGTAGTAAATATTGGAATTAACATTAACCAAGATTTTCATTGTTTATGTTAATGAAGTTAATTAATGTTAACATATTGAAAACTTTTAGTAAAGTGTTACTAGTTTTGCTTTTAGTTTTACACCAATGACATACATTTTAGGTAACAATTTATTTTCACACATGTGAATGTTACATGTACTTACTAACAATAAATGATGCATAATTGCATGCAACTAACCCTCAACCAAACCCTAATCCTGCCCTAACCCTATAGTAAGTACATGTAGTTGCTTAATATTACTCAGTACTTGAATATAATTACACTGTAACAATGACACCTTAAAATAATAATGTGCAACCCATTTTAAGTGTCTCTTAACTGTCCAATTATATTTTTAGGGCCACTGAATGTCTACTAAAAGAAAAAGAAAAAAAGAAAAGATCTAGGCTTAAAATTGGATAGTGTATGAGAGGAAACTGACTGTGAGTGAAGAGGGTTAGCCTGTCCGGTAACCTGATTAGTGGTGCCCTCTCCATTCCTCAACCCCAAAATAACTCTACACTCAGCCTACTAATTCTTTACTGGGTACACACACTTCCACAAACTAGACTATGGCAAAGAACACAAGGCAGAGAGAGTAAGGTCACACTGCCTTACTGTAAAACGCTCCGCTCCATTAGTTCTGATGTCCAACAGAACGATAAGCCATATTCATCTGTAGATGTGGATGACGAGTTTATGGAGATCTGCAGTGCCTGTATGACTGATCAAAATAGTCATAAACTACTAACAACTAGAGTTTATTTTTGGACCAGGACTGAATATTTAATAGGGTAAGTGATAAATATTCAAAATTGCCAAAAAATAAATAAATATTTTGCATCCCCTTCATATTCCATTTAAAATGCAATGCATGTATGTCAAATGCTGTTTTTTTTTATTTCAAATTGATTAATGAAATGATTGAGTTCATGTCATTGCTTCTCAGTCAGACAAGCATGTATGACAGTGATGCGTAATGAGTAAATGTAGTAAGCAAGAGTTGTCAGGGTGTGTCTTTTCTTGCTTGGGTTTGTATTTGTCACATGTTGCCTAATTTAGTGGTTGTCAAACAGGGCCTCGGCACACTTCCAAGAGTGCAAGATGGCTTAAAATGTTTTAGAAATGTAGTAATTACATGTAATTATGAGACTTCAACTTCCAGAGCTTGTAAGCGAGAGCTCCTAGTATTAACTAACTGCTGCAGATTAATTTAGTGTTGCCATAGAAACGCATACTTCCTAGTTGGACTTGAACAGCTCTGAAAGTCACGTGTTGTCATCTTTAAATTACAAATATTTTGTTCTCATTATTTTGGTTAACCTGACATACAGGAATTTTAAAAGTGTGATTTCTAGACCTGCAAAGTCATGCAGTTAATAATATATATATATATATTTTTTATATAAATGCATGTAGGCCACAGGTAGCCTATCATATTTTATTGCGTAGAAAAGGTTATTTGTGAAAAAATGTGTAGTTTATGAACTAAAACATTTAATTTAACATGTTTAACCCACATATATGCTAAAAACTTGATCTCATACACTGTAAAAAAAAGTAGGTCTATTGCTATTTTAAGTAACCGTGACTTAAAAATGTAAGTTCATTGAAATTAAAAAATGTAGTTAATAGAATTGAAATTGGATCAACAGAAACTCAAAATATCAAGTCATCTGAACCACAAAAATTATCTAAGTTGATTTGACAAAAGCTTTACTGTACTGTTTGCTGAAATGTTTGTTGAAGTTTCACTCAAACAAAGGGTGTGATCTGCTTTGCAGTCAATATGATGCGAGACGAGTATTTGGTGGAGTGTAATATTGATGATGATGATGATGATGATGATGATGAAGAAGACTATGATGTGAAGAAGATCCAGCTGTCTCCGCGACCTCCACCACAGTTCTCCTCCACCCCTTCCCTCGCTCACGTTGAGATCAGGGATCCCTGTGGAGTCAACAAACACTTGAAGGTGAACGCAACGTTCACTTCTCATCCTGAGATGGACATTTAGAATGTCTTACAGTAGCCTACATGAAATAAGAATAACTAGAAATAAAATTCACGTAACTTTCTGTTCATTGTGACACCATCAGGTAGAGTTTAGCGATGTTTTGGCAGAGCCCGCGCCCACACACAGCTACGACCGCGTGTGGGTGTACAGCGGGATCGCCTTCGAGTCCGCGCGGCTGTGGGTGTACCGCTGCCTGACTGCGCTGTTTGCGGTTCCCTTCTCCTGCCTCTGCGGCTGCCTCCTTGCCCTGCTGGCCTGTATGCACATTTGGTAGGCTCTTTTTATTACGAAAAAAAAAAAAAAGATTTATGATTGATAAACTAAAGTTTTTTAAAGGGATATTTACCCAAAAATGAAAATTCTGTCATCATTTACTCACCCTCATGTTGTTCCATATCTGTATGAGTTTAGTTCTTCTGTTGAACACAAAAGAAGTAGTTTTGAAGAATGTCTGGGAGTGGGAACCAGACGGTTGATGGTAGCCATTGACTAAACTCATAGGTTTGGAACAATTTGAGGGTGAGTAAATGATGACAGAATTTTCATTTTGGGGTGAACTATCCCTTTAACCCATTCAGACCCTGTGTCCATTACAATGGACATCACATGTCAGCCCCCTTTTTTTAACATCTGGAGCATTTCACCTAGTTTAAAGCCTGCAGTCCATGAGATTGGACGTTTGTCATCCAATCAAATGCCAGAAAAGCTCTGCATGTGGTAATTATATATAAAAAACACTACATTGAAGAGAAGCATGTCAGCACTTCACTCCAAACACAGAAGCAAGCAACATTTTCTAAGTTATATTTACATTTTGCATATATTTTTTCCAGTATTTCAAGGTTTTTATGTAAAATAGAAAGATTGAACTTATTAATTAAAGTTAAAAATCGACTGTAGAATTGCACATTTTAAATCAGGATTTTTTTAAATGTGTCTGTCCATTAGAATGGACAGTAGGTTTGAAAGCCTGTTACTGAAGTCACATTTTCAGTAATGCTGATTGAAATTTCTTTTATAAAAAAAAATAATATCACAGTACCGATACATTTTTGAATTTTTTTCATGTGCAGAATATTCAGTTCTGAAGTGCTTGAACATATAGCTGATGAAAATATCTCAGATGTTGACTTTATGTGGAGTGATGAGGAAGATGAAGATGTAAGAAAAATATCCATATTTAAAACTTTATATAGTAAAATAATTTCTGGCCAAAAGAATAACGGATTTAACTTAAATCTAAAGCACAACTTAAATATGAATATTTGTAATATTTTATATTAATATATATTTTTTATAGATAGATGCACTTTTATGATGCATAGATGCGTTTTTATCATGGATAGATGCACTTTTATGAAGGATAGATGCACTTGTATCATGGATAGATGCACTTTTATGGACTTTCAAAACAGAAACAACCATTTACAGCCAATATAAAGCTTGGAAGGGTCAGAACATTGTTTAATTTAACTGTGATTGTTTTCATCTGAGAGAAGAATGTCATATACACCTAGGATAGCTGGAGGCCAGGGTGATTAAATCATGGGGTAATTTAAATTTTTTGGTGAACTATCCCTTTAAAGGTATAGTTCACCCACAAATTATATTTGTCATCACTTACTCACCCTCATGTTGTTCCAAACCTGTATGAGTTTCATACCGTTTTTATTCTGCTGAACACAAAATAGGTATTTTAAAGAATGTCGGAAACAAAACAGCTGACAGTAGCCATTGACTTCAATAGTATTTTGTTTTCCTATATATTTTCCAAATAACTATATGATATTATTATAATATAAAATTATCATTATTAGTAACTATTTTGAAAATTACAATAATATTTAGCAGTAATGTATCAATATATATTACAGTACAATGCCATATAATTGATTACAGAAGTAATCAAATTGTGCAATTACGAAATACAGTAAAAATACAGTAAAGTACTATTTTGCAGTTTGCATTACTGATCTTGTGCACTGTAAGTGAATTACACTAGTTACTGGAAATCGAAATACAGTGACTTGCTGGCAACCGTCCTGCCAGTACTGTAAAAATACAAGAAAACACAGGATGCACAACGGAAATGACTCTAACATGAATGCATTGATTGATTCCTAGGTTTATTTTGTTATGAATAAACAAATGTGCAATATATAAAGGAAAAAACTTACGATTAAAGTTGTAATGTTATAATGTTCAAGTTTTTGATCTAAAAAAAGAAAGATGCACACAGAAAATGACTCCAATATGACCAGATTGATTGATTGGAAGATATTTAGTTTGTTACAAACAATGTGCAATCTGTACAACAAAAACCTCAAAATTATAGTTGAAATGGTATACTGCTGGAATTTCTTTGACCTTGAGAAAAAGCTTAAAGTATAGACCAACAAATTTTATGTTTATTAATTTATTTTATGTTGGTACATTTTTGGGAAGTACACCTGTTTTGACCTGATGTCCATTGGAATGGACAAAAAAAATCACAATGAAAGCCATTATATATTTTTTTTTTTTCATTTGTTTTCATTTGTTTTTCATTTGTTGTTTTTTTCATGAGCTGGGAAAATGTACTTTTATATTTTTCAGAAACTTAAAACATAATTCAGGTCTGAAGGGGTTAAGCAAAAATGTCACTGCTTCTATTTTCTTCTTCTTGTCATAGGTGTGTGATGCCCTGTATTCAGGTGTGTCATACCTGCCTGCCCTGTGTGAGGTCACTGTGGATAAGTGTGGTTAATATCTTCATCACTCCATTCTGCACATCTGTGGCTCGCTGTTGCAGTGGCATATATGTGACAGTCTCCAAAGACTGATGAAACACAATTAAGAAGGAATTTGAAGAAGCTTATTAAACTGCTTTCCGAGTCTAAAAAAAGCATAAAAAAAGTATTCAAAACAATTTAAAGAAGAGGATTACATGCTATTATAGCCTGTAGATTTTTAATTATATAATAATAATAGTTTATATCTTAATGTAATACATTTTTTGATAACACTTTATTTCAATAGTCCACTTTAGACATTCTACTAACTATAAGTAACTTTTCAACTACATGTCAACTCTCTGTCATTATAGTATTAGTAGACTGTCAGCTTAATATAACACTTAATATCTAACACTTTCAACTGACTATAAGTAACTAGGTGGCTACAAGTAAACTTATTCTCCTAACCCAAAGCCTATCACCTAACCATAACCTAACAGTCTACTAACAGTCTAATATACTCTAATGAGAGTTACTTGACATGTAGTTGAAAAGTTACTTATAATTAGTAGAACATCTAAAGTGACTATCGAAATAAAGTGTAACCCATTTTATGGATGTCAGTAGATATTTTGTATCTTTCTAAGCATAATACAAAAAAGAGCCTCACACTAAATATCAATAACTTCATTTTTCATATAGTCTGTTTATACTGTATTTTTCTGTTTGATATGTGTAATTGTCATGTATTATCTACGAAGCCAGATGCCTATTTTGATGGTTATCATATATTTGAATAAAACAACCACTTACATTTGTACATTCAAGTTGACTTATTTATCAAGTTTTTTCAACAACATTTTTATTATGTGAATATGCAAGTAAATCTGGACGATAAAGCACTCAAAAGCATGAATTAGCCTACTTTTTCTTTTGTTTTCTTGTATTTGTGAGGTCAAAATTAAAACATTGGTATAATGGTATTTGTAAAAGAAAAGAACACCTATTCACCAATCTTCACTATGACAAGAACAGTCAATATTGGCCCACTTTTCACATCAATTGCAGTTCAGTAACAGGTGAAAATGCTGTAGTATTGTGTTAAGGACTGGAGCATTTTATTGACCAAAACAGAGATAATAAATTTGTGATAATTTTGACTGCAAAAGAACTTTGTATTAATGTAATGCCACAAAAACAAATCTTTATTATTAGCCTATTAGAAATGTAATATAGCCTAATAATAATAATAATAATAATTGTTGTTGTTGGTATTTTACTATTGTGTATTCTATACCAATTTTTTTAAATGACCTGAAGACATAAAAAAGTTTAAAACCTCATTAATAACAAAAACGCCTCCTCCATGAACGCCTCTGGTGAAAAAAGTCGCATGTGACTTTTTTTGACTGTCATTTGTCTTCCCATAATTCCTCTACCCGGAAGCAGATGAAGTGTGATGAAGCGCGGAAGTACCGCGGGGGAATTCCTCGACAGTTTGCACCTGTCTGAGCTGTTCTGGATGTTTTCATCTAATTTACTATATCGGCCTCGATTCTGATTTTCCAACTCGGTGAAGTTGAAAATGTTGGCCGATCTGACCGTCTGCGGTTGACTATAAACAGGGCCGTGTTTCTTTGGCGGAAGACCGACAGGCAGTGGATCAGTGTTAGCGGTAGACTTATATACTGTAAACGACTTAAATAAGGTAATAATTGCTTTCCTATAACATCCTACGATATATTTATCAGATAATCTATGTGTATATAATGAGTCTGAATTGTGTTTCTATGTGGTTTTGCATGTTTTAGGGTTTAAATGCACTGATGCTAGTTCGTTAGCTGAACGCGTCTGTAACGAGCCTGTAAACAAAACATTGAGTCTCGGCTTTCAGAAGACGTGAAAAGTTGTTTTAAAATGCACCTGTCGATAAGAACTAAATTTGAGGTCAATATAAGACTCAACAGCGAATTTGAGCTATGTGCTTGTCTTCAGCGTGAACACCGCAATGAGAAACAGCGAAATTATCTTTCTACGTTATATGGGAAAGGAATCATGAGATGACTACTTTTCTTAATTTCAATATGAAAATTGAGTTATATGTTATTTTATTTTAGATTTGGCGTTTTTAAGGGCAGAAGTGTCACTGAATATCCTAATTTAATAAGCTGTTTTAGCATTTGTTGTAAAGTGAAACCGAAATTCATCCATTACACTTTACATTAAGTTGTGAGATTGTACATTTAACCCTCAGGTGCTCTTCGGTCAATAATGGCCGGAAAATTTTCTGTTTTGAATTTCTAAAAATCACAGCTTCTTCGGAATGTTATGAAACTTGGTGACTTTTATGAAATTGGGTATGTGAATAAAAAAAATTGAGGTCATGATCCGAGCACGCTAAGTGGTCGTAAAATAGTCACACTTGTGGTCTTCGGTCAAAAATGACCGACCCATAGGAAATGAATGGGAAATTGAAAAAAAAAAAAATCACAATTTTTAATTATTTATTTATTTTATTTTATTTTTTTACATTTTTTTAATAATAAATAGTTTTTGAGATTGTTTCAACTGTATATTCAAATCCACCAAAAAAATAAAAAAATGCTGTACATGCCATCTAGTCGTTACACCATGATTCTACGCTTTTTCTCTATACTTTAACCAGATGGTGCTAATTTTCTTCAATTTTTTTTTCTTCTGAAGGCCTAGACTCTATATTAAACTAAAATACTGCATAAATATTTTTTTTAAATAATATATATATATATATATATATATATATATATATATAGAATAATATATATATTTTTCCATGGCAAAATAGACCATAAATATTAATAAATTCAATCAAATTCTCTCAAAATACTAAATTAAAAAGAATAAATATTATAGAATAAAAATAAATTGCATTGGTTTTACTGGGATGGAGAAAGTTTAATTTTTAGGTGTCCGGTCACTTTTGACCGGGAAGATAACAAGTGTGACTCTGAAACGAAGAGCACCTGAGGGTTAAGTTTGTTAAAACCATTACCATTTAATTTTGCACGAATAAACTTTATCTAACAGTAACTAAACCATAAAATATCAGGGAATGTTAAATGTGTCATTTCCAGCACTGAAAAAGTTGCAAATTAATAACAGTGGAAAAAAAACCCTCTTTTAAATATTATTGTTATTGTTACAATAGTTTTATTTTAGTATTTTATTTTTACAACAATAACAAATATTTAATAAAGCTATTTATTTATTCGATTTACTAATACATTAGGATTAAAAAGTTATATCTGTTAATATTAAATAGACCTCTTATATGATCTTACAATGAACATGAACAAAATAACTTTTATTGATTTATATATAAATCAATAATATGATTAGTTAACTTTAATCATTCACTCTCAAATGAGCAGTGGAACATTTTATAGCCCAAAACGGATTAAAATAAACTTTTTGACACAAAGACGATTAATAATGAATATTCATGACCAAAATTGAATTTAAAATCTAGTTATGATAAAGTGATTTTACTAGGTGCTGTTCCATTCATTTAACACATACTCATGGTAATTTATTAAAAGGTGATGAACCACCATCATCCCTTCCATGTCAAACATATTTTACTGTACTGCACAATTTTTAATGTACAAAAAACCCCTAAATTTTTACTCAAAGATATGTTTGACTGATGTATTTCAAAACATCCCCTGAAAAAAGTATCATCTTAAATAGTAATTTTGTTAATTGTATTGTTTATTCCCTTTATTGATTGCTGCTGACATGGCATTAAAAGATCATTCAAAATAAATTCATATTAACTGATATTTAATATCCTTAGCCATGACTCATGAACAACTGGAAAGATAATGGTAATTCAGAGCTGCTGATGTTTATTATTGTCTTGTCCTCTCTGTCTCTCTCAGGATCATGGTCCAGCCGCAGCCATCAGGCGGTTGCACTCTGCAGTGGGAGCTGACTGGAGAGGAGACTGTGGGTGCTGGAGGTCAAGGGTCACTGATGGCCAGTTCACAGGGGTCTCTGAGGGTCCCTCCTGAATTAGCGGGAAATGAAGTGGTCCATAGACTCATAACAGATAATCATCAGCTACGAGGTGAGACGATGAGATCTACGTCAGACTCATGGCCTATTGAATACAATGCATAAACAACTGTAAACTTTCCACAGAGGCTCTGAAGCGAAGCAATGATGCTCTCAAAGAGAGATGTGAAGAGATGGAGGGGTGGCAGAGGAGGTCGCGGGAGGAGCGAGAGTTCCTAAGCTGTAGATTTCGTGAGGCCAGATCTTTAGTGCAGCGGCTGGCGCAGGAAAACCAGAGCCTGTTAGGACAGCTCAACCACAGCATCGGCCCATGTGTCGGCGTCTCTAAAGAGACTGGAACTCAGGACCAAGAGCTGAAGTGCTCCAATGCAAACAAGAACGCCCTCATGGACTCACCAGAAGTAGGTTCTTTTGTTAATCCTCCATCATAAGGAACTTGCAGAAAGTTCTCAGTTCATTGAAATAAAATGAACATCCCATTTTTGTTTCATTGTGCAGGTATTAAATGAAGCTGTACCGATAGACCGAGCTGAAGGAAACACTGACAGACACACAATGCCTCAAAGTTTGGTAATTTACCATAAATCTTATTCTCAATATGTGAAATGTAACATTGTTTTTTTTTTTTTGTGTGTGTGTGCAACATCTGCAATATGCTTTGACTTCTTTTTTTGTGTGGTGTGTTAAAAATAATCTCTTTACTCTTAAGCCTGCCGAGGGCTCTAATGAATTTCTGAAACTGCTGAAAAGCCACAAAGAGAAGCTGGAGGAAGGGATGAAGGTGCTGAGGAGGAGGAATGAGGAGCTGGAAAAGGAAAAAGCAGAGAGTGAGAAAGAGCGAGTAAATCTCCTTGCCACAGTGGAGCAGTTACACTCCAAACTCACTCAGGTAGAGCATTTCATTTCCGCATGTTTATTGCTACAATTAGATGTGTCATATGGTCAGATGACAAGTAACATGTCCAACCCCTTTTCTGGTATTTATATTGTGTAACTGCTCATTAGAGCGTATTTGGAGTTAGTTCTGTAGTGTCTTATTAAAAACTGCATGTATAATATTTATACTAAAACAATACTAGATGACTGTTGAGTTTGGGGTCAACATTTTTAAAAGTCTCTTATGCTCACCAAGGCTGCATTTATTTGATTAAAGTAAAAGCAATATCGTCAAGCCGCTTTACAGAGATAACAGGAAAATAATGCAAAAAAGTTTGTTTCCACAAGAAAATAGCGTCACAGTCCAGATATAAATATATTGTGAAATATTATTCAAATTTAAAGTTCTATATTTTAAAATGCAATTTATTCCTGTGATGGCAAAGCTGAATTTACAGCAGCCGTTTCTTCATTTTCTAATATGCTGATTTGGTGTTCAAGAAACATTTCTTATTATTATCAATGTTGAAAACAGTTATATTTTTGTTGAAATCATGATACATTTGATACATGATACAGTTCTATTAACTGATGAATAGAAAGTTATTTTGAACCGCATTTATTTAAATGTAAATCTTTTTTTTAAATTGTAGCCTTTAAAATGTCTTCTGTCATCTTTGGTCAATTTAATGCATCCTTGCTGAAAAAAATAACATCTTACTGACCCAAACTTTTGAATAGTTATAAAAATGTTGCACCACAGGTCACTGTTACTGGTTTCTTACAGGACGTTAAAAAGCTGCTCTGGTCTCTTTGATTTAGTTTAGGAAGTAATGAACTACTCCTCTCTCCTCTCTAATGAATTCATCCTCTCTTTTTCAGAATGTTACAGAAGAGTCAGTCCAGCAGACATGCGCTCTCACCGTTCCTGCAGAAAGGTACTCTCAAATATTCAGTTTACTCTGCTCTCTTTCCCTACAGGTGATAGTGATGCTCCTTTAACTTTGCATGCTTGGATTGGATTGTAATAAAGGTGCTTTGCTTCCTTTCTTTTAATGTGAATGGTTTGAGATCTCTTCTCTGTCTTCTGTCTCGATTCACGTGTCTGCTTAGCCCTCACTTGGCTAAACTAACTGAGCAGCTTCAGGCTACACAAGGCAGGTGAGGGGAAATGTATCTCACTGTATGTGTGCATGAGTGTCCTTCCCCCTCATTCGTGTTACAAGAACATGTTGTCTGTGACTGGAGTGAGACATGCACTGACTAGCATGACTAGTATTATTTCGGGGTCGGGAGGATTGTTTTTTAAGGAAAAAAGTTATACTTTTATTCAGCAAGGATGCATAAAAATGATCAAAAGTGAAAGTAAAGATATTTATAATGGTACAAAAGATTTATATGAGCTTTCTATAAATGAAAATGTATAGAAGAAAATATTTTGGTAACACTTTACTTGAAGGGGTGTGCATAAGACTAACACGACACCTTCATAATCATGACATGACATGTTATGAATATGAAGGAAGTTTTGTGCATGTTTATGACAACTGTCATTATGTGTCATTTGCTCAGTTATGACATTTTTTATGCCAGTCTTATGCACACCCCTTCAAGTAAAGTGTTACCAATATTTTTCTACAAAAATATGAAGTAACACAGCTGTTTAATATTAATAAATGTTTCTTGAGCAGAAAATCAGCATATTAGAATGATTTCTGAAGGATCATGTGACACTGAAGACTGGAGTTATGGTAGATAAATTACATTGAAATTACATTATTTTAAATTGTTATAATTCAAATAAATGACTGTTTTTACCATATATTTGATCAAATACTGGTGAAACTCGAAAAATTCGAATATTGTGCAAAAGTCCATTTATTTCAGTTATTCAACTTAAAAGGTGAAATTAATATATTATATTATAGACTCATTTCATGCAAAGTGAGATATTTCAAGCCTTTATATGTTATAATTGTGATGATGATGATGATGGCTTACAGCTATGAAAACCTTTTCACAATATTCTAATTTGGAATTTGGGGTTTTCATAGCTGTAAGCCATCATCATCATCATCACAATTATAACATATAAAGGCTTGAAATATCTCACTTTGCATGAAATGAGTCTATAATATAATATATTAATTTCACCTTTTAAGTTGAATTACTGAAATAAATGGACTTTTGCATGATATTCAATTTTTTTGAGTTTCCCCTGTAAATGCAGCCTTGGTGAACAAGAGATTTCTTTCAAAAGCATAAACCCCAAACATTCAGTAGTGTGTGTGTATATGTATATATGTTTTGTTCATAATTATTGCAATAAAATGTAATATTATATTTATACATATTTATTTATTGATAGATTTTTAGTTGGACCAAATGCTGAACATAGTAAATTTAGCCCTGCATACATGAGAGCTCAATGTTGTCCTTGCATCTAGGCAAAGGGAAAGGTCTTTGAAGAAGCTAAAATATAAGATTTTGATTTGTTTAACATTTGGTCACTAAATTTCCCCCACACTCTGTTATTTATTTTGTTCATTTTGATGACTTTACTGTTACTTTAAAATTGTAGAAAATACTGACAATAAGGAATGAATTGATGTGTCCAAATTAGGGCTGGGTAACGATTAATCGCGATTAATTGTATCCAAAATAAAAGTTTGTGTTTACATAATATATGTATGTGTAGTGCGTATAATTATTTTGTATATATAAATACACACACATTCATGTATATATTTAAGAAATATTTGCATGTATATGCTGTATATATATATATAATTTGTATTCTATTTAAATATTAATATTTTATATATTAATAACACATTTTTCTTAAATATATACATGCATGTGTGTGGATTTTTATATACAAAATAATTATACACAGGACACACATATATCATGTAAACACAAACTTTTATTTTGTATGCAATTAATCGTGATTAATTGTTGCCCAGCCCTAGTCCAAATACAAGTGGTGGTGAACTGCAGTAAGATGTCTGTCTTTCTTTGCTGGGATGTAGGTACAGGGAGCTCCAGGAGAAGCTGGACTGTCTTCAGAAGAATTCTGCTCAGAGAGACAGAACTGAGGCTCTTCTCAAACAGAAAGAGAAGGACTTTGTTCAGGTACATAAGCAAAGATACAACATTTGATTCGTCAGGCAAATGCCTCTTCTTTCTGTGTTGAGTTATGCTAGCATTTGCAGTAATTTGAGATGAGGGATCATCATCATCTTTGTGTTTGTAGCTGACAAAGGATAGTGAAGCTCTGAGAGCTCAAGTCACGTCCCTTCTCGGTGAGTTGAATGAACGACAAAACTGGCTGGAGAAAAGTGAAGCAGAGAGACGAATATTAGAGGATAAGTGAGTGAATCTCTTCATCCTTGTGCATGCGTTTGATTATGAGAGTCGGCAGCTGTGTACAAGACCTGTTTGATCTCCCAGATTGGGCAAGAAGACAGAACGCCTGCAGACTTTAGAGAGAGACATGGAGCAGCAGAAGAAGCAGCACAGTGTGACAGTGGACAATCTTTTATTGCAGACACAGAACCTAGAAACTGCCCTGAAGAACGAGAGGCTCGTCATAGTGGAGGAGAGGTGAGTTCAGCTGGACGGAGAGTCCCTTATCGAAAGCAGCTTCCCTTTTTTCATTGTTACAGTTGTAACAGTAACCTACAATCCCTGTTGCTCTTCCTCGTCTAGGAGGAAGCTGGCCCAGCTCCAGCATGCGTACACATGTCTGTTTCAGGATTACGACAACAAATTAAAAAGTGACAAGCAAGCCAATCACAGGGTAGGTAGCTGCTGTTTGTGCTCTACTATGTTGGTTATTAAACTAGATAGCAGGATGAAAAATATGTATATTATGTACAGAAAGTGAATAAAGCTTGCTGCCATTCTAATCACTGAAGCTGTCAGTCACCACGCAAGATACACAAAGCTGCACTCTTGCGAAACTCCCGTTATGAAGCTGTCTATTCTGTGCAATGGATCTCTTTTTGACTTTGTGTTTATACTTTGTTGGTTACAATAAGTGGATTCGCGAGTGTGCAGAATTCGTGTTGTTGCGCGGATTCGGACTTAAACACCATTGATTGGCCATTGCGTCCACATGCTCAACAGATATGTCTGTGATTGGCTACAATGCTCAACACTGCAAAAACATGTTGTAAATAGAAACCTATGACACTGTTCAATACTTTTAAGCATTTATTAATAATTTAGATAAGTTTTTATTGTTATGTTTTCAGTTTTCATTCAATTTTTAGTTTAATAAAATGGAGAAAAGCACATGAAATTACAAAAATCTATTTTTTTTTATTCAAATAATTTTATATTTAGCTTTTATTTCAGTTTTAGTATTTTTAGCACTTCAATCTAAACTTTTTAGGTTTTAGTAGTTTTTCATCCTTTATTTTATTTGGGCTTTTTTCAATTAATGATTTTTTAACAGTTTTAGTTAACAATAACAACACTGGTGCAACCATTATACAGAAAAAACAAATACAAAACCATCTTGATTTTGTGTAAAAGTCAATACGCCTAAATTTATATTTATTAATAATTTTTGATATTTTTAGGATACTTTTTTTTACCTCACAAATTATATTTATATGCTGTTATTTAAAAATAAAAATGTTTTAAACAATTTGTAAAAGTTTTTTTTTTTTCCTTTCTTTATGTTGGACACTTATTAGTCATTTACCCATCTCTTAAACCTAAATGCTTCAAAACTAGAAAACCGTTATGGTTTGTGGTAAGCACTTTGGCAAATGGGTCAGTGCATGGTTTGCACTATATGTGGTTAATGGAAAGTGTATGTGTGGTATTTCCATTTCAGAGTGGAGAGGCAGAGACTCTAGCTAACAGGTTAGCAGAGGCTGAGAAAGCTCTGGCCCTAAAACAGGAACACATCGATAAACTCAAGGAGGAAATGGAGCAGCTGAGAGCTACATTAGAAACTATACCAGTGCTGAATGCTCAGGTGAAAATAACACCTCATTCAAATAATCACTTACTTTGTCTTTGTTATGAATACTCATTCAACATGCATGCTGGCTGCATATAGTAACAAACTCAATTGCACATTGTCTTTTTTTGCAGGCTGAGATCTTTAAGATGGACTTCCTGGCTGAAAGGGAAGCCAGAGAGAAACTCAATCAAAAGAAGGAAGAGTTGCAAGAGGAGCTAAATAAGGCACTAGTTGAGATAGACAGACTCAAGCAAGAGGGAACGTCACGGTATGAAAAGAGATGGAAGCAGTGAACAAGTCTTGATATTTGGGTACCATAATGTTTATTGACTGATTTAAGCGTAGTTCTCCCAAAAATTCAGCCTCATGTCGTGTCAAGCTCGTAAGACTTTTCTTCATCTTCAAAACAAATGGATATATTTTTGAAGAAATCTGAACGCTTTCTGTAACTACCAATTTCACGCTTCAAAGTGCCCATAAAGAGATCGGAAAACGAATCCATATGAATCCAGCGGTTTAGTCCAAATTTTCTGAAGAGACGCAATCATTTTATATTATTAACAGATTGAATTTAGGCTTTTATCTTAGCATATAAACATTTGTCAACGCATACATCAGATATGGTAGACAGAAGCTTAGCATGTTCGCTTGAGGTGCGAAAACCAATGAGGTTTGTTCTCGTGTTACACCGCATGTTTGAGCTTCTCCAAGAACCAATTAGAGTTGTTTCGATACTAGTATCGGAAATGCCACTGCTACAATAAAAATTCTGCCATCGGTATCGGCGAGTACTTCTACCCATGTACCGATCCGATACCGATAAAGTAACTTTGCTTAACGCTGCAAATCGGAGATCAATTCTTCTTCGCTGCCCTAAACAGTGACAGGACGTTGTGCTGTTGCCACAAGTAACCAATGTTTAGAGCAGCGAAGAAGAAAGCGTGTACTAGCTGTGTGTCCGCTGTTTGGCAGTAGTTAAGACTGGACCAACCAGCCAGTAAAACGGCGGCATGTCTCATATGCCATACTGTTTCGAGGGGTGGCACAAGATTAGCAGCTTCAACACTTCATAACGCATTTGAAGACGCATCACCTGAATGCGATGGTTAGGGCAGAGAAGGATGAGCCGATCTCTGGAAGCTTCATTCAAACGAAGAGAAAGGTTTTCAAAAGACAGCCAACGAGCGATAAATAAAACCGACAAAATGATCGAGTTTATTGTTCTGGATGACCGGCCGCTGTCAACTGAAATGCCGTGTATCTGACAAAATCGTTTCTAGACTTTAAGTTACAAAGAGGTCATTTTCTTATATTATTCATATATCATTTTTTAGATTCTTAGATTTATTTGTAGCACTTTTTTATTCAGTTTAAAGTATTAGATGTGTAGCTGCATTTTAAGTTCACTTAAGAAAAATAAATAATATTGCTGTGAAAATGTATGTCAGATAATAAAATACTGTAGTTCACTGTATATATTTGTTCATGTTTTATTAAAGGATAGGTCTAAAGCACAGCATAAAATAATTCTATCAATTCATACAGGGCTAGTATGAATTACAGCTGTATAGATGCACACCCAGGTGTCGGATCAGTACTCGGTATCGGACGATACCCTGAGTCCAGGTATCGGCAGGGGACAAAAGGGTATTGGAACGTCTCTAGGACCAGAAAGGTTCATTTTTTATGTTACACAGCACGTTTGAGCTTAAGAAAGAACCAATGGGGTACATTCTCGTGTTGCGTAGCATGTAATAATATCATAATATCTGATTAACTTAAATCGTATTACCAGTCCTCTCCACTAGATATCATCCTCTTATTTACCTTGAACGATGTTACAACAGGGGAGGCATGGATGTGGAAGTTAAGTTAAACAAGTCCCGGACTAATATTGCTTCCAAACTGCACAAACCCTTGGATATGCGCCTAATATCGTACATTTATCTAGGTTAACGTTAACGATAGAGCAAGTGATCATGTAAAGTGGCTAATGTGAGGCTATGTTTGAGTTCGCACATCACCTTTTTGTGTCATTCTTTAACCTCTCGAAATGTTTCCACACTTTGGATTTAATGCCTGACATATTACTGCATGGACCGGCCATGTTAGCGATCTGTCACTACGTGACTTCGCCAATTCCTATGTTTTTTCTTCCGCGACTAATTAAAATTTAGTCAACCGTGCCACTTCTCATCAACAATGAGGCGACACCCCTAGTGCTTAACATGGTGGATGTCCAGCCCTAGTGCCTTACAGTTGAAACACGTTCTGGACAGTTGAACAAAGTTTATCATTTGCTCTTGTTTTTAAGCCAAGTCAATTTAAACATTCAAGATGTGAAAATGTCTAAGAGTTACATGTGAATGTTGTCTCTTCACAGAGCTCGCATTGAGGAGATGCAACAGAGACACTTGGAGAACTTCAGGCCTCGACCTCACCCGCCCCCTCCAACTGGTAAAAGCCATTATTCAGAGTCTGCATGTGCTTAACTCTTTCCTTCATTTTGAAAGTATATTGTACTGGCTACATTGTAAATGTAACGATCATGTCTATAAATACTGTTGTATTACTTTACCTGAACATGTTTGGGGTCTCAACTTGAAATGTCTGCTTTTGAAGCACCTTTCACAGGAGCAGCCATGTTCAACCCAGCCCAGCCTCCATCTGCACGCAGAAGAGATGATGACCAGGACGAGCTGCCTGATTACCGCTGCCCAAAATGTATGTACAAGGCTCCAGACATGGATACCCTGCAAATCCACGTCATGGACTGTATCCAGTGAGAAAAGATGTTCAGGTGTTTTCATGACACCTGAGTGAACTGTATCCACAACAACAATAAATGAGAAGAGAAAATCAAGAACCTGCTAAAGACAAGACGAGAACTGTCTGAGGTCTCTGAACATTTAATCCTGCTGCAGATTGACTTGAAGTAGACAGATGTTTAGCAGATGTTTTTATCACGTGGCTATAGAGCTGCCACCATGTTCTTGTGTGTGTATCTCTTTAAAAAAACGCTCATCTGTACTGCCTTTCTGTGACAGCATAGTGTAATGTACTCTGCACGTGTGAATGTTTGTCTGCTTTACGTCTGCACACACCTGACAGTGACAATGTTTCCTTTATACCTGTGGTATTTGTTTCTCTAGATGTATATGCACTCTTGAGGATTCATGCCCGCCTGTGTTAATATTGTGTATTATCAGCCAAAGTGAATATGGAAAAAACAACTTTGTACAGACTATTGTTATGGAGAGATTTACTGAAATAAAGGTATGAATATAATTATCTACTCTAATTGATCAGTTATTCACTTTAAATGAATGCTGAGAAACTCTGCTGTAGGAGCTGAAAAAGGCACTAGCCAAGACAGACTCAAAAAAGAGGGAGCCTTGTGATACAAAAATAAATATTATATTACTTACATTTTTAATATTAATATTTGCATTGTCAAATAAAAAAAATAATCCAATTAATTGCATATGTGTTAATATTTGCTAATAAAATCCTACCATTGCAAATGTGAAATTTATTTGTTTTTAATTAATTAAACTTAACCAAATCATTTTGCAAAATTTGAGGTTAAATATTTCATATTTATTTAACTAACTGTTCGATTATGAATTCGATTACGGTAAACAATACATTTTAATTAGTGCTGTCAAATCGTTTAAACACATCTAACAAAAGTTTGTTTATATAATGTCTATAAATGATTCAAAATACTATATATTAGTATATATATATTAGTATTTTAAGCAAATGTGTGTGTGCGTGTCTATACACACACACACACACATGTGTGTGTGTGTGTGTAACCTGTATAGACACATATTTATAAATATATGTGTATATACAGTATACACACATATTTATAAATGTAGTAATATCTATATACACACACATTATGTAAACAAACTTTTATATCAGACCAATTTGACAGCACTAATTTTAATACATTAAAATTATAATAAAAAAGTATTTGGACACTTTCTGGTTGTGTAAACTATCATACTTAGAAAAATATCACTTTGTCCTGTTGGTTACGATTTATTTTCTTACGTGTTCAAATACTTTTGGTCCACTGTAGATAAAATACCAATGACATTTGGACGTTAGTGTCTTGCTAATGCCCCCTGGTTGTGGGTTTTGAGCTACGGTGCGAGCCACTGTTCTAGACAAATACCTGCAGTACCGGCGGCTTTCACCAGAGGGCGCGCTCTCTATCATACACGTCATTCTTTCTTTGAGGTGACGTGTCTGTCTGTGTCTCATTGGGTGGACGCTGCTGGTGTTGCTGTCTTTCCTAGATTTGAGCGAGTAGAGGTGGATTCATTCAACATGATGCGAGTTATACCAGCTATTTTGGCTTTATGTCTGAGCTTATGTGCAGGTAACGTTACTTTGCCATTTCTTCAATTAATGTTAGATATACATCACCATTCATTCTCAGCTTTCAATCTGTCGTGTATTCGCTTATCGATCAAAGAGGCTAAGATGTTGCGAGCTAACTTGACGTTACATCGAACTGATTCCCTTTTATGACATCAATCCATTATTAAACTGGCGTTTACTTGAATTCATTCAGTGACTAAACTTGACATGAAGCTTGTTATTCATTAAGGCTATAACGTTGTGTGACCGGGGTTTTCTCTCCTCAGCTGAGACTTGCACAGACCCAGTCATTTCTCCGTCTTCATACACGACTACAGACGCACTCATCTCTTCTGAGACTGTGTTCATCGTTGAACTGAGTCTGGCGTGTGCAAACGGAGCTCAGGTGAGTGGACTTTACAGTTACTTAAATGCACGGGTCATTGGTACAGAAAAGTGGACTGACCAGCTTGTTTTGTTTTTAGAGTGTTGCCCTCTATGCAGATGTCAATGGAAAACAGTTTCCTGTGACCAGAGGCCAAGATGTTGGCAAATATCAGGTATAGTTACATGGGTTTTATAGGCATAGTTCAACCTAAAACTCTGTACTCATTACTCAGCCTCATGTCATTCAAAAACCCTAATTTGATGTTTTTTTAATTTCGGCTTTTATTCACACCTAAATGTTTATCAGCAAACGTAGTTGAAGCACTCTATTCTTAATGGAAGCTCAACCATACTTTCCTGATTCACAAGAATGAACCTCATTAGTTCTTGCTGAAGCTCAAACATGCTGCATAACACAAGAATGAACCTCATTGGTTCTCATGCGCTTACGTTTACCATGTTTGAGAGCTCAATGTATTTTTGCCGATTATATATGAATAAATGCTAAATTAAATCTGTTCATCATATAAAGCAATCCTGTCTCTTTGAAATACTTGGATTAAACCATTCGATGCATATGGATTTCAAATTTATGAACTTTTTCGAAGTGTCGGGTTTTAGGTAAATAGACTTTCAGTAGATGGACAGAAATCTCTCATATAATAAAAAATATCTCCATTTGTTTTTCAAAGATGAATGACAGTGTTATAACTTTAAGGTCTATTAATGAATCTGTTACATGTATGACCCCTCTACATATGTAACCAACTGTTCCATTTATCTTTGTCCAGGTCTCATGGAGTGTTCCTCATAAGCAGGCCAGCTCTGGCACATATCAGGTCAAATTCTTTGACGAGGAGTCTTACAGCACTCTAAGAAAGGTTGGTGAAATTATAAGGAATGATTGATTTAAGTGTAGATCACATAATTAATGAAACTTCTGTCATTTACTTATCTTCATGTCATTTCACATCTGAATGAATTTTTCTTCTGCGGAACATTAAAAGATTTTGAAGGACGTCTTTTTTTGTCCATACAATGGACGTCATAGGGGACCATCAGCATTCTTCAAAATATCTTCTGTTCTGCTAAAGAAAGTAAATTCCACAGTTTGAAACAACATGATGCAGAGTAAATGACAATGTTAACATTTAACGCACTTGATGAGACTGTGTGTTCAATGGTGCTGATGAGAATTTGTAATGCTTTCAGGCTCAGAGAAATAATGAAGATGTTGATTCTATCAAGCCTTTGTTCTCTGTCAATGTGGATCACAGGGTGAGTATGCATACTAATCTTCATTGACAACAGCTAACTATCTATAAACTTGCATTAACAAGAATATACCCCCACACAGGTTCATTTTGCTAATAGTTTACTTTCTATGATTTGTCTCTCTATTTGTTTATTTACCAATATATCTATACATGAATTGCAGGGTGCATGGAGTGGTCCCTGGGTGTCCACAGAGATCTTGGCTGCCCTGATTGGCATTTTGGTCTACTACCTGGCCTACAGCACCAAAAGTGCTATCCAAGCTTGAGAAGAAAAGAAAAGTCCATTTTCCGCCATACTTTTCAAACTGGTCTTCTGGCATTCCTCCTGCCATTTTAATGTGCAGAGTTTATAGCCATGCATACCTTGGCTGAAACAAGAGATTGTTTTTTTTGTAGAGCTTAAGTGAAAGTATCGGTATGATCAACAGCTGAAGTGGTGTTTTTTTCCTTCTTTTTTTTAACAGACACAAGAATTTAAGACTTAATTTTTTCGTCGATGCTGTCATTATTAAACCTCAAAAGGTCAAAAACTGAGGTGATTTATCTGTGACTCATCATCATAGTCCAGTTCTGTATGTTGAAATGTCCCAAATATCAATGAAATTCATTGAATATGGGAATAAACATCTTTTCTGTACGTTTTCTTGAGTCATTTAATTTTTGATGAAGAGCTTGTTTAGTTAACCTCATTTATTAATATTGAGATATAAATAAATGCAGAGAAGCGCTCCGAGCCCCGGCAGACAATCACACACTCAGGACGCACACTTCTTCCTCAGATTCCTTGACATTGCTTTGACTTTACGTTTCAACCCTGAAGAATCAAATTGCTCTAAAATAGGTGAAAATAACTAATTTCCCCTTACTGATAAAATGTTGTGTTTTTAGTGCAGGAAATATAAACTATAAATACTGCTTTGTGGCTCTTTAATGTGTCCGACTGATCGCTGTAGAGCCTCAGTTAAAGCTGTGCAGAATTCACTTTATAAATCCCAGTCTGCATAAGATTGTCCACACATGCTTCTCCTCCCTAAAATAACCATAAATGGAGCTTATAATGCCTAGTTTTGCTATGCATATCCTCATCTGCATATCATTTGCATATGATTATTCATCCACATAACATGTTTAATTAATTACATTAATAAAATCATTTAGTAGCCTATCCTTGCCTTGTTTTTGAATAAATAAATCAAATAGTATACATTTCAGAGAAAGTTTTTTCTCAATCTTTTCCACTCTCCAAAAGTATTTTTAATCGATTTATATTTTAATGGAAACAGATGGGCCTTTGTTGTGCATTTTTTCCACAAAAATACTTTCTCAGACAATCATAAGCAATTATCTCTGTAGTTAAAACATTAAAACAGCATACCACATGAAAGGTGTCCAAAAGCATCGCATCACTAAAAATATTTATGTTTTTTGAATATAGAAAATCCTGTAACTTCTCAGTAATGATTTCAGTTCATTTAACTCCATTAATGAGAATGGCATATTTAATGTAACTGTTTATATAAGGAGTAAAACATAGTTTAAATCATTCTTTTATTTACTTAAACTTTTATTGTGAACATGTACCGTACTTAGACTATGATTAGGACTCGAGAGAAGATTTACGGTTTTACTTTATCTGCAGTTATAGATAGATATGCGTCAGTTTCCCCGGCCACCTCAGACTGTGAGAAATAATATTCTCTGGGATGAACCTCAGTTTCAAGCATCATGTCTGGAGGAAATGAGGCACTGTTCATCACATGCTCAATATCCAAACAAGTGTGGTGGTGGTGGTAGCTGCATCGTACTGTGGGGATGTTTTGCAGGGGCTGGGGAACTCGTCAGGGAGGAAGATAAGCTTAACACAGCAAAATATAGAGACAGCCTTAATTAAAACCAATCCGGAGCACTCAGAACCTCAAACATGGAAGAAGGTTCACCTTCCAAAAGGACAATGACCCTAAGCATAGCTAAGGCAATGCAAGAGTGGCTTATGGACAACTCTGTGAATGTATTTGAGTGCTCAGCCTAGAGCTTGAACGCAATCGAACATCTCTGGAGAAACCCTGAAAATGGCTGTCCATTGACGGCCCCCATCCAACCTGACAGAGCTTGAGAGGATCTGAAGAATGGCACAATATTGCCAAATGCAGATATTAAAGTTTGTCAGATAGTAAAGTTAGGTAGTAAAGTTTGTCACATCATACCCAAAAAGACTTGAGTCTGTAAGGGGCTTCAACTAAGTATGGAGTTAAGGGTTCAAATACTTATGCAATTTACTTATTTCAGTTTTTCCTTTTGTAATAAAACATTGTCACAAATCTGTTTTTTTGCTTTGTCATTATGGTGTATGGAGTTTAGATTGGTGTGAAATAATAGTAATTTAAAGTACTTTAAAATAAGGCAGCAGCAACAACAAAATGTGAAAAAGTAGGGGTATGAATACTTTTGCAAGGCGCCGTTCTCACGTCACATGTATATATTCACTACCTATTTGCAGTATTTTTATTTTATTTTTTTGAGGAAGCAAACGAAGCAAGGCCATCGATTAGCAGCTTCGAGTACATATCATATGGGACTGTCCATAATACATTTGCATAGGCGGAGCTCAACAAGATAGCTGACTATGCCTATGTGACGTTTATTTCTGAGGTGGGTGAAAGTGTGACCAGTTAAATGAAAAATATGCTAGCGATAGTTCAGTTTGGTGCAAGATTGGTTTTCCTACTCTTTCTTTCTTATGTTAAGTATATTCTACTAATAATTTGTCTGTCAGCGACGAATTATCTTACTTGTGCCATTAAGTGACAACAAAGCTCCCCTCTGCAGGATGAGTTGGTTCAGTCCGCAAGCGCGCCGCGTCCATACTCGTTTCTAAAGACCAAGCGTGTAGAATAAAGCACGCTCTCAGTTTCTTTAAGGCGACTCACGTTTCCTCTCACTTCGCCGTGTTCACCACCTGAATGAGTAATAAATACAATTCAGCATAGCCATGTCAGTTTCCGAGCCACAGTCAGTGGACTCCGGCGGAGCGGGAGGGTATGGAGCCTTTTACCCGGCGGGATACCAGGCGCTGCAACCGGAGGAGCACGGCCTAGATCGCGGCTTCCGACTCACGGCCTTTTCCGATATGAAAGGATGAGGGTGTAAAGTCCCGCAGGAGACTCTGCTCAAACTCCTGCAGGGACTAGAGCCTGACCGCCCGCCCGGAGAGGACGGCGGCTCGGGGACGGGTGTTGGAGACGAGACCGCTGATTTCGGGCAACTTGTTTCAGTTCCCCAGGGTCCTCGACTAGGTAAAGTATGAGCCGCGCGCTGACCTGTCAAAAAGCGAGCAATGTTTCGTTCCTTTGAATCGAATCTTTCCAAAGAATCGGTTCCAAAAATAGCAATTAGACCCAGAAACCAGAGTTTGTTGGTACTAGTAAGAGCTTTTGAAGTTAAGCGAGGTTTTGCCTGTGATAGGGCGAAACGTAAGTAACTTAAATAGCCAAATAGCATGTTCATGGCTTTCAAACTGATATAAATAAATAATAATTTCTTTGCTAAACCGGTTGATTAACTATCAAACTGACAATGTCAGTTTGATAGTTAATCAACCGGTCAGTTTGATAGTTAATGATAGTTAATCAACCGGTTTTGCAAAGAAATGCTTATTTATTGAGATGGTTTTTGCTGTAACGTATTGCATACATAAGATCATATAATGTCTGGGTTAGTAAAACTCTTTGTTTAACCTTTGACTGTCCTGTTAATTAAATACTACTGGGAAGCATATTGCAATAATGTGGAAGAGATGTGAACTATGGACTTGGGCTGCAAGTCAATGCTTACCACAGAAAATTAGATCACAATTAATTCTGCAAAAATGCTTCTTACCATTGCAAACTGAATGATTTTTTATTAAGTTTTAAGTCCCCATAGTAAATGATTAGCTTCTATAAACATGAATGCACTTTGCAAATGATTTTACTGTGAGTGAAAAATAATTTCACTGTTCTTGACCGCAGGTATTGGAATGGACTCATGTGTGATCCCTCTGAGGCACGGGGGTCTCTCCCTGGTCCAAACCACAGATTTCTTCTATCCTTTAGTGGAGGATCCTTACATGATGGTGAGTGGAATCTTATTAAAGTTTCGCAAAAGTTACCATGCACCTCACAAAAAAATGTCCAACTCGTGTCCATTCTTTTACAGGGACGGATTGCCTGTGCAAATGTGCTGAGTGATCTGTACGCTATGGGCATCACAGAGTGTGACAACATGCTCATGCTTCTCAGCGTCAGTCAGAAGATGAATGAGAAGGTCTCTGCTTCTTGCTGTTGTGTATTTTTTGGTTTTACTTTTTAAAGCTAATTCAAAAATGTAATTTTCAGTATATATGGACTTGGTTAGAATGTTTACTACATTTTTGCATGATGTTTTTGCAAAGGCAGAAAGCTGATGGTGAAATGGCTTATGTTGTTTGTACTGTGATGTTATCTCAGGAGAGAGAGATTGTGATGCCTTTAATGATGAAGGGCTTCCGTGATGCGGCGGAGGAGGGCGGGACTTCAGTAACCGGGGGACAAACAGTCATCAATCCCTGGATCATCGTCGGGGGCGTGGCCTCTGTTGTGTGCCAGCCTAACGATTTCATCATGTGAGTGTTTTTGACTGGTTTCTCATGAATCAAAGGACTATCTGAACACTTGTTTCGGAAAGATCTAGTTTTTCCTAAACAAACATTTAGCACAATTTCAAAAGGAAATATTCATTGTCTGACACACATATGTCTGTGTGTATATATGCAGGCCTGAAAGTGCTGTACCTGGAGATGTGTTGGTTCTCACTAAACCTTTGGGAACTCAAGTAGCAGTGAATGCCCATCAGTGGCTGGATATAGTGAGTATACATTTTCATCTTTGAAATGATTGCTTGTGCTGTTCTTTCTCCTTTAAGTTACGAAGAGATGACAACCCCATCTCATTTCTCTCTGCATCTCTTTTACCTTTATGCTTAATTTCTTCAGCCTGAGAAATGGAACAAGATAAAGTTGGTGATTTCCAAGGAGGAGGTGGAGCAAGCTTATCAGGAGGCTATGCTCAACATGGCCACACTCAATCGCACTGGTATGTCATTGCATAAGCATTATTAGCATGGATTATTTTTAACAATGGGGCCAATATTCATTACACACACCTCCTAGTTTTCAACTCTGGTTTTACTAGATCAAATGGCCTATATGCATACTTTCAAATAACGAGGAAAATATTAATATCTTTTGCAGTACTAATAAAGAAAGATGCATTTATTTTTCATTTGTTGCTTAATTTAATTACTACAAGATCTCTCTAGGCATATACACTACCATTCAACAATTTGAGTTCAGTAAGATTACAGTTTCCAAAAACATATTAAGCTGTATTTTCAACATTTGTTGAAATGAAGAAGAAATGTTTCTTGAGCACTTAATCAGCATATTAGAATGATTTCTGAAGGATCATGTGACTCTGAAGACTGGCGTAATGATTCTGAATGAATATATGATCACATTTTTTTCTTCTTCAAATATTCATTATGGTTCTCCTATAAATAACCTCTTTATTTTGTTATTTTGTTTGGATGTCTCTGGAAAAAATTCATTTCTGCAGTCTATTTAAAATATTTAATTCATTTGAATGAATGATTTAAAATTGGTTTAAATTAGGGCTGCATGATTCATCACAATTTACATGTAGCCGCACTTAAATAGATTTGGCTTATCGTAATTTTGAAATTGCAAAGGCTGCGATTTATTGTTTTTATGCGCAGCTCGCCATTGGTGTACGGCTCTGTATACGCTGTCCCATCTGAAAGCACTGTGAGTTTGGGTCACTTACTTTCACTTACGTGAATTTAAAAAAGCAACACGTGTCAAACATCTTTCCTAACATGAGAAGCATTTATGAACCATGTCCAACAAAAGACATCATTTGATAACATGCTTTTACACTTTCTTAACGACAGCTGAGCATCCTTCTGTGAGATAATGTGGCGGCTTACACAGAATAAGGCAGTTGTGTGTTCAGTCATGTTTCAATCTTCGTTTTTTCAGCCAAGGTTGGAACGGTGGCTTTACCAAACCGGTATGGGTTTTCAATTAGGCTGGGTTTGGTTTCAAAATCATTCAGGCACCAGACAAGATCAACTTGTCAAAAACAAAACATATACGCTGGATAGCTCCAACCACTGTTGCATACAAAAAAAAATAATAAACTGATACCCACAATAGGGATTTGTTGTCAAAAAAATGTTATGTGTCCGCCATTGTAGAGAGCGATACATATTAAAACGCATCACCAATGTGACGTGATATAGGAGTGAGTTGACACGGGGGTCATTTGCATATACTACATGAAGCAAGAATGTACTGTAGTTGCATTCAAGCAATTTTAAGGCATGAGTAAAAACAAATTTCAAGGAGAAAACTTTAAATATGACATTTTGGTGATCAACGATGAGTTTTAAGGAATACAATTTTTGAGAACAGGGGGACTTTAAAATATACTACAGTAGAAAACGGTTAGTTTAAAGTGTTATAATATTTCATAATACTACTGCAAATGCACCCTTAATGAGCTTTCAAAAACAAACTCACTAAATCGTACTGACCTTCAAACTTTTGAACAGTAGTGTATAAATTGTACTGACCTTAAACTTTTGAACGGTAGTGTATAAAGTAATTTCATCAGGTTTTACATTGTTTTTAAATTCTTTTTTTCTTTCTCCTTCTCTCCAGCTGCAGCTTTAATGCACAAATTTAATGCACATGCTGCCACCGACATCACAGGCTTTGGGATCATAGGTCACGCACGGAATCTCGCCCAGCAGCAGAGAAATGACGTTGCCTTTGTCATTCACAACCTTCCCATTATCTCCAAAATGGCCGCAATCAGCAAAGCCGGTGGAAACCTATTTGGGCTTTTGCAGGGCACCTCTTCTGAAACCTCAGGTAAGAGTCACAGCTCTGTGCGACTGTGCAAACGCAATCATTTAAAGTGAGCTAGGAAATATCAAAACTTTGCAATTACACTGAAAGTGGGATTAACATAATCAGCATTGGATAATTTCTTTGTAAATAAAGATTGTATTCGCTTCCAATACTGTAGCAAAAAGCTCTAAGTCTGTCGTTCTCCCTTCATCATCCCAAACTATGTTCAAAGATTTGTATCTTTTATTTTCTATACGTGTTGTAATCAGTAATTGAATTAAATTCTTGCTAAACAGCTAAAATATATTAAAATACAGTTGACTAACAAAATTGATATTTACGATCGTTCAAATTAAATTGAATAAAAATAAATACACATGGGATTCAAGGTCCTCCACAAGTTTATTTTGCGGTATTAACATTAATAATTTATCAATTCCTGAAAATGAACAATCCTGGTCAGTAGAGATTTCTACAAGCTCTTGGGTAGATAAAATCTTTTTCCTGCCTCTCTCAGGTGGCCTGTTGATCTGCTTGCCACGGGAGCAGGCGGCCCGGTTTTGCGCCGAGATGAAATCCAGTCGTGTGGGTTTGTCGGGAGTGGTGGGGCAGGATGGAGGGGTGGGCGATGGGCAACAGGCTTGGATCATTGGCATCGTGGAGAAGGGCAATCGCTGCGCCCGCATCATCGACAAACCTCGGATCATAGAGGTCCCGTACCGTGGCTCAGTGGTCAACGCGCAGGAGGCGAGCAACAATAATGCTAGTCCTCCTCAGGTTCAGCAGACATAACAACTCCACAACGCCACAGGGGGTCTCTCAGCGATCATTATTCTTTACCCCGACCCTTACTATGATGATCGATTTAAATGTGTGTGTTCATAACAGGCATGGTGTTTGTGAAGGACAGAGTGTGTATGGTTGCTCTTGCTGTCCATTCCTTCCCCCCGTTCAACCAAAGGGTTGAGAGCAACAGACCAAAAATATTTTAACTGACCTGGTGGGAGATGGAATGGACAAGCTAACGTATTTTCATCACTCATTGTATTTTTTTCAACTCATTCTTTCAAACACACACACACACACGCACGCACGCACGCTCCACTCTGTTTTTTTCTTCTTCTTCAATGTTTAACAGCTATTCTTTAAAAGAATAGTTCACCCAAACCATAAAAGCTAACTTAAGTTATTAACCCTTATGTTGTTTTAAATCTGTATGCTGCTATTTGATAATTTTATTTTTGTTGAACACAAAAGGAGGATTTTCAGGCAGATATTTTTCTATAAAAAACAGTGAAATCGATCCTTTTGAGGCCAAAAATGTCTTTTGAGGCCACTGCAAAAAGTGATTTTGTCTTATGTTCCAGTATGAATGAATGTCAAATCATTCTTAAATTAAGAAACATTTTCTTGAGAAGCAAGACATAAAATCTTGTTTATGGAAAAAGTATCAAAAAGAAGTGATTTTATACTTAAAACAAGAGAAAAATGTCAATTGGATAAGAAAAATAACCCGGTTTTTGTAGTTTTCTTACCCCGTTGGCCGAGTCGTTTTTCATTTAACTCGCTTAATTTTGATACATTTTTCAGAAAACAAGACAAAAGCTTATTTTTATGTTTCTCAAGTCAGTGTATGAATGCTTTGATCTTTTTTCTCTGACTAAGAAAGTGAACAGACAAAATTTGTTAATATTTGTGACCTGTTAACTCGAGATTGAGTTAGCAAGTAATGGTAGTTATACAGAAAAAGGGCTGATAATTCTGCTTTTGTGTTCCTCTGAAAACAACATACAGGTTTAGAACAACACATGGGTGAGTAATTAATGTTTCCATTGCATTTATATAATATCCAGATTCCAGACTTAATTATTTCTACTTGAAGGGGTGGAGGCTTTGAGACCTCACACTAAAATGAAGCTGAGTTTACTAAGAAACCATTCCAATGAGTTCTTGATCCATCGGATGCTTTGAATAGCAAATACACTTAATGACAATCAGACATGTTTTTTTTTAAGCCATCTGACAAACACGTGTCAAAGAAACACTATCACACCAATGTATCCTGGGGCCTGAGTAATCATAAACGTTGGATTAGTTGAGATATTTAGTGGTACAATCAATATTTATTTTGTCAAAAATGTATCCAAATTTCAAGTGCTTTTAGGTGGTGTTTATCTTGTATCCAATCAGTCTGATTCATCCATCCGTTTTAATAGGACATTCTTGTAACATTCAATTATGTCTGGTAAAATTAGGTTATAATGTTCTGTCTTGTGGGTCTTTTTCCTGAATTGAGTGACCCTAAACTAGTTAAAGTAGGTTCGACCAGTTCTTCATTTATATTAATATGGAAAACATGCGTCATGGTTTTAGGGGCAGCAGTTAATTATGAATGATTGTGGTGAGACATATGGATGATCTTTTTCTTCTCTCTCAACAAGTCTGTTGATTTTGAACAGAAGATAAGGTAGTCTGGTTCTCCCTCTTGTATCTGAGAAAGGGTTGAGCAGCTTTCTCTGGTCCAGTGGGTGAGCCCAGAATGCCAGTTGTGCTGTTTGAATGGCTAGGACAGAACAGCAGTGTCCACAGTCCTCTTTATGACACCTCTCTCTATAACCCCAGCTCATGGGACAGGTGAGGTTGATGTTAGATAGGAAGGGATAGGCTGAACTGCCATGTTCATTCTCCTGGCACTGGTTTTGTCATTGCAGTTTTCATTCATTAAACCAATGTGACTCAATAAACTTGTGATTTCTCTAAACTGATTCTATTATTCATTGAAGCTTGTTTCATGGTCTCTTTTGTTGACTGTCTTGTGTTGTATGTAGTTCACCACAATGTGTCAGCAGAGTGCAAAACTGTAAGATGGAGGCAGCCAACGGAGTCTTGGCTCTGTTCGCTTTATGTATTGGCTTGTCTCAACAACATTATGTCGTTCTGCTTTAGTTGTCATCATTTTAAACTCAAATGACAGCTGATTATTTGATAAACAAAGCACTTTTAAGCATATGGCAACTGGAATTTGTTTTGAGCAAGGGGATACTGAAAAAGAACGAAGGAACAGTTGTCAGAAATGTGCATGATCAGAAACAGATTTTTTTTTTCATCTTCTGCCAGTAGGCAGATGTAGGTTGAAACATTTGACTTTCAGAAACTTTGAGGTAATATGAAGAGAGTTTTCATTTGACTGGAAAGTAAATACTAATTTCATTAGTGGCAAATAAACATCACTTAGCTTCTATCTTAAATTGCATTTGCTGTCTAAAGTTAAAGAGAGTTGTTCACTTTAAAAAGAACTTTTGCTGATAATTTACTCACCCCCATGTCATCCAAGATATCCATGTCATTCTTTCTGAAGTCGAAAAGAAATTAAGGTTTTTGATGAAAACATTCCAGGATTTTCTCCATATAATGGACTTCAGTGGGAACCAAACGGTTCAAGTTCCAAAAGACAGTTTCAGTGCAAACTACAAACTGTTCAAAGGTCTTTAAACGATTCCAGACGATGAATGAGGGTCTTAACAAAAGAAACGATCGCTTGTTTAAAAAAGTTCAAATCGCCTTGCTGTGATCTGTGATGTTGTGACTTTCCTGTTCGAACTCGTTCATCAAAATGAACAAATCTTTTTTCGTGTCATTTGGTTCATTCAACGAATGCATTGACTCGGGAAAAGATTCGTTCATTTTGATTTGAACAGGAGAGTCACGAACGTGCATCACAGATCACAGCAAGGTGACCATTTGAGCTTATAAAACTTAAATTTTGTTTTTTTTTCTTTTAAATGAGTGATCGTTTAGCTTGATAAGACCCTTGTTATCGTCTGGAATCTTTTAAAGCCCTTTGAACAGTTTGTAGTTTGCACTGAAACTGTCTTTTGGAACTTGAACCGTTTGGTTGCCGGTAAAGTATGGAGAATTCCTGGAAAGTTTTCATCAAAAACCAGGAATTTTTTTTCACCTGAAAAAAAGAAAGACATGGACATCTTGGATGACATGGGGGTGAGTAAATTATCAGAAAAAGTTTTTTTTTTTAAAGTGAACTACTCCTTTAAGTTCATGCAGAGAAAAGCAGAGTGCTGTAGAATACATTATCCATTTAGAGAAAAATGTCTTATTTTTCCATTTGTCATCCCTCAGAATAATTAGAGACTGTTCCAATGCTTCAGTAAGTGTATCAGCTCGATGTGAAAACTAGGAAATTTGTGATGGCAGAGTTCTTCCCATTTCTACCCTGTCCTTTCACTTTTAGGCGTTGTCTTCTCTTCTTGCCAATCGGCAATTAGACCACTAAAGATAATCATCTCTTTTTATCGACCTAAAACATTTTGTTTACCAGTTCTTCTGCTGGTTTGATTTGATTAGGAAAGGGAGAGATACATAATCGCTCACTCTGGACATATTTAGTTTTTCCCCCTCACATTCTGCAACCCCTCTTTTCTCTTACATAATGTCCTTTTTGGTGCAGAGTCTTTTCACGTTGAGGAAATCCTTTAACAGCTTCTGATTCCACTCATTTTCTGTTCACTGATGCCCGGTCTAAACCTGTTCAGCAGAAACCTTGGACCAGTTGTTGCACTGTCCATTGGTTCTCTTTGAACAGCGGAGCATTGCGTGTTTTTTGAAAGCTTCCCTGCTGTTGAGTTTATGCTTTCGCTGCCAAATCTTCAGTCCTACAGCAAAACAAATCTTATTTTGTTGTGAATGTGAATTGGCAGTTTATAATTAACAGGATGCAATCATTTCCCTCCCAAAGTGCCTCAAGGCCACCACCATCGTGCCTGTACCGAGTAAGTCCACAGTGGACTTAGCCTCAATGACTACCTGCCCGTCCCAGTCGCACCCATCGTCATGAAGTGCTTCGAAAGGCTTGTCATGATCCAAATCAAGATCTTTCTGCCCCTACACTGGACCCGATTACAGTTTCCTTAAAGGAGTAGTTCACTTTTGAAAACTTTTGCTGATAATTTACTCACCCCCATGTTATCCAAGACGTCCATATCTTTCTTTCTTCAGTCGAAAAGAAATTAAGACATTCCAGGATTTTTCTCCGTATAGACCATTTCACAAGATGTAAACAACACTGGCCCAGAAGCACTTCCTGTTTCATTTTTTTAACACTACATAAAAGCTGGGATGAAATACAACCAACAGAACATTTAAAACTGAATCAAAAAGTTAAACAAGCATCTTTAGGATGTTTTCTTTACATGTGAAATAAAGAAAACAGTTACAAACTGAAACAGGAAGTGCTTCTGGACCAGTGTTGTTTACATCTTGTGAAATGGTCTATAATGCACTTCAGTGGGAACCAAACGGTTCAAGGTCCAAAAGACACTTTCAATAGAAACTGCAAACTGTTCAAAGGGCTTTAAACAATTCCAGATGGTGAATAGGTGTCTTATCAAGCGAAACGATCGCTCATTTAAGGAATAAATAGTAAAGTTTAAGTTTTATAAGCTCATATGTTCACCTTGCTCTCTTCTGTGACAGACGTTCATGACTCCTCTTCGAACTCGTTCATCAAAATGAATTAATCTTTTTCCGAGTCATTTGGTTCATTCAACAAATAAATTGACTCGGAAAAAGATTCATTCATTTTGATGAACGAGTTCGAACAGGAGAGTCACGAACGTGCATCGCAGTACAGAGCAAGGTGAACATCTGAGCTTATAAAACTTAAACTTTGTTGGGTTTTTTTAATGAGCGATCGTTTCGCTAGATAATACCCTTATTCATCGTCTGGAAACGTTTAAAGCCCTTTGAACAGTTTGCAGTTTGTACTGAAAGTGCCTTTTGGACCTTGAACCGTTTGGTTCCCACTGAAGTCTATTATATATAGAGAAATGCTGGAATGTTTTCATCAAAAACCTTAATTTCTTTTCGACTCAAGAAAGAAAGACATGGACATCTTGGATGACATGGGGGTGAGTAAATTATCAGCAAAAGTTTTTTTTAAAAGTGAACTAATCCATAAATGCCCCAAATGCTCAACAGACGACACCACACCCTCCAGCCAGCTTTCACTCACCTGGACAAAAAGGACACGCATGTAAGAAGATGATTCAAAACAATTATTCCTCAGTACCTGATTGAAGCTGGTCTCATCAGCAAAGACCATGAGTTGGCGTACAGAGAAGAAGCTCATCGGCTAATGGGCTAGGGCAAAATCAACGTGGACAGAATAAAAGAGATGGTTGTTGACTTAAGGAGAGCACGTAACAAGCTCTCTTTGCTTGGTGTCCACTTTGCGGAGACCCTCATGGTCTCTCAATAGCAGATCCATAGCGAAGAAAATCCAGCAGCGTCTCTACTTTCTACAAAGGCTGAAGAAAGCCCCCCTCCCACCCCCTCATCCTCACTACTTTTTACAGAGGGACTGTTGAGAGCATTCAGAGCAGCTGCATCACTGTCTGGATCGGGAATTGGACCATCAATGAACGCAAGTCCCTCCAGCAGGTCTTTCTTTCCTACATCATAGACATTTACAGCACACGTCGTATCCACAAAGCTATCTGTATTGTAAAGGAGTTCACCACACACACACACACACACACACATTCACAGACACACAAGCAGTGCTTTGTTTCAGTGTACAGGCTCTAGCTGATATGATAATAAAGCTATACTCTTATGAATAGTTCCAAAATTTTAAATGACCAGTTCAGTCCGAAATTCTGAGCTGTATGACTCAACATTATTTGCAAGATTCTTTATGTCAGCAAAGTATACTTTTATAACTGAAAGATTTGCATATTATTCAAAATGACCTGTTTGATTAGCATTGATGTCTGTAGTATGTGAGCAATTCGTTTGTGGGTTCTATATGGAGAGCACGAGCCCCTACGGATCTGCATAGATGAACCACAATGACTGCCTCTGATGTAAGTGCATTTTTGCAGCCAATCTCCAAAAATACCCTTTGCAGCTGTTCTCAGATCTCCATTTCTAGACATCAAGACTGAGTGGTGTAACAGTCAATAGGATTCATCTTTTTCCCCAAATCTATGAACGGTGTAGTGTGTAAGTTGTAAGCTAGTGTTTCATTCTGAATATATCCAGTCGCTGCCCTTTCCTATCCCATGTGACCCTTTAAGACATGCTTGATTAACCAGTTAATGGGTTAACGCGCATGTAAGAATGTGCTTTGCATTATAGTTAATCTTTTCTTTTTAAGTGGGATCTGATGGTGATGATCACATCAGGCGTCTTGCAGTAGCACTCAAACTGAGATTTCAGATTAAGAGAGATAGCCTATTGTAGTGTCTTGTAATTAAACTGGTGAAATTCCCCTTAAAACAGGTGGCTTTTCTTATACAGTCATCTGAAGAAAGTATGAGTTTCTTATCTGTGATGCAGCAGAGGCAAAAATAGCCTGTCGTGTTTTTGTGAAGTTTCTTTACATAAAGGAAAGAGACGGATACATGCAGTCATCACTTTTGACCCCAGGCATGGCACCCGTCTGCCTGTCATCTCCCAGTCAGCAAAGGCAGGGTAGACTGAAAGCAAATCCACAAGCACATGGTTGCGCTGAAAATCCTTATCATACTGCATTCGTTTTTAGTTCTATTGTTCCATAAGCCCTATCCAACAACATAGAGTCGTTCACATGCCACAAAATATCCGGGATAAGTAGTAGAGGCTGACACGAGAGCCAGACTCGACTGTCTACAGTAAAATTATAGCTGTGCAACTAATCTCAAATAATGTTTGCAATGTATTTGCGCTTCTCATTTGCATCATCTCAAGTTTAATTCACCAAGCAAGTC